CGATTCCCACGGGGGGCCAGTATGAAAAAAAAAATATATATAATGTATGCACTCACTAACTCTGGATAAGAGCGTCTGCTAAATGACTAAAATGTAAATGTAAATGTATGTCACTGTTTCTCATAGAATTGTTCACACCGGGCACCTTTCCTTTACCGGACGGGCCGTTTGGAAAACTTTTGGCAAAATTAGAGTATACCCACTTCTCCAGGGACCACTACACCACTGACCAGGACCAACCATGCTTAGCTTCAGAGGCAAGCCAGCAGTGGGATGCAGGGTGGTATGCTGCTGGCATTGTACAGTTCTAAAATAAAAACCTTCTTTATCAAAACTTTGCCTGCCCTCTTTTTGCTGTCTAGCCTCCGCACAGTTACATAATGTCAGTTCTGAGGTGGCCGGGTTGCGTGTGACTGGATCATCATTTCCTAATCTTCTCCTCACACTCTGAGAAAAACCAGGGACAGTTGCCTCTTTGTTGTCATGATATGCAAGATGGGGGCTAGTACATACTGTACACATACAGTATGTACTGTATGACTGCTCTAAGATAACAGTTAATATAGCTTACTGTGACAAGACCGTGAACCATGTTCAATTCAAAGCTATTACCTCATGTCCGATACATGATGGATTTCTCACCAAGTATTACAGCAGTGGAGGAAACCGGCCATGATGAACAGCTGAGGGTCGCTGAGGGTGGTTCTTTGAAACTCATCTGAAAATCGAGGGCAGTTTAATTTGATCTCTTGATCTCAATGACAACACCAGCCAATTCTATAAAATAATAATTTAGCTAGCGTAACGTTACTGTATTTTAGCTGACAATGATTACATACATCTATTAATAGGGTTGGCTACACTTCCAGGATTACAAGCTAGCTAGCTAGATGCTAAATGAATATAGGAGAAACACTGTGTCCAAGGCTACCATAGACCATATGTTTTAAAATGTAGCTTCTGTAACAGTATTTTGCACATTTACATCAAAATAAAGGAAATGTATGAATGACAACATAACCCTGTATGTAGCAACATAACCCTGTATGTAGCAACATAACCCAATGTTCTGTATCTCTATTTCTAATAGCTATCCTCACTAGGCAACCACATCTAGTCAGATGTTAAAGTGCCTTTAAAGAGGCAATTGCATAATCTTTAAAAGACATACATTTCAGGTAGAACATGCACACACACACACTTGCATTAAAAGCTCTTCCTTTCAGATTCACTCAAAAAAGTATTGTTCTCTGTTTTCTTCCTTTTAGTCTGTGAAATAGCCTAGTGTCCAACTGCTACTCATTAACCTCAGCCAGTCAGTCATTATGGCAGTCCATAAAAAGAGAACATATATTCTAATACTATATCTATGAGTCATCTGAGATAAGGCACCAGAGTTGGATCTGGGCCTCTATCCACAAAGCGTCTCAGAGTAGGAGAGCTGATCTAGGATCAGGACCCCACCCGTCCATATAATCTTATCAATTATGATCTGAAAGGAAAAACTGATCCTAGATCAGCACTCCGACTCTGAGACACTTTATGTATATCGGCCCTGGCCTCGCTCTTCCCTTTGTCAGTCATCAATCACCAGCACATGGGTTAGTCAGCAATAAAGAAGCAATCTGTCTTTGTCTTTAGGGGTTGGAAGGAATCAATTGAACTGTGGAGAAATCCGATAAAACGGAAACAGGAAAGGAAAACAAATATTTTCTGTTGAGTGATCAGGTTTGTCTTCAATGGCTTATCTTCTGATGGAGTCAGGGAAAAATGTGTACAAGGAATGTGTACAAGAGAGGTTGGTTGGGGGAATTTTCTCTTTTAAAACATATCTTTACATAAACATGATCTTGGTACTTGACAGATGCTATTTTCATCGCCTCTAATGCAATCTTTTTTGGTCGATACATTTGCCTCAAGCTTCAAGGCATAGTCCAATGTTTTGCTTATGGAAATCTTGAGCCTAAGTCTTCTTAAAATATATAATAAAATTGAGGTTTGATAAAACTGACAGCAAAAAATTATAGGGATACAATTTCTCTTGCTTTTTAACTACAGTACTTCCCCTTTCACTGACTTGAATCTTGTCATTCTCCTCATGGATATTGTGTTTTGCTGATGTTCTCAACCAGGGGTGCAACTTTGGTTTTAAAAGTGGAGGGGACATAATTATTTTTTATTTTTTAACACTCCAAACAGCCTACCCGACTGCTCAGAGGCGTCCGCATGGTCCCAAAACACACCGTCCCTCGTTTTGGTTCACATTCCAATGATAAAACTGGGGGGGACAAATGCAATTTCAGAATGTGGGGGGGACATGTCCCCAGTGACAGTTGCGCCCCTGTTCTCAACCATCAACTGAAATTGATTCCAAAATCAGTGGACAATAAGTAAATAAAGAATAGCCACTTTACCAGTACATGGTGTGTTTTAGTGAGTTGGCCACCATCACTTTATACTTCGATGTCTGGCAGCTATATAGGCCTCATGCACATTTAATAGAGACATAACCTCTTTTGATCTATCAATCCAGCTCCCTCCTCAGTCCTCACACAAGACCGAACTGTAATGAAGAACAACTGTTGTCTTTCATGGTCACAAAATCCACTAAAAAGATGAGATTAAAGATTCATGCCATCGCAGGCTCTGCTACTGGCTCTGCTTGGGCAATCAAAATAATATACCTCTTGTCTGTATTTATGTTAGTGAAAGAACCCTGAGTAGAACCCCTTGAGTTTCTACTGTATTGTGTGCAAGAAGCTCTTATATGGCATCATTTTGTCATAAAACACTGGTTTAGCGTGCTGGGCCTAAACCCGTTATAAAACACAGAAGTACTCAGATTACACTGGCTGGTTTTGTTCACAGGGTTTTGTAAGGTTAATTCACACCACTTCAGGCATCAGGGCATCCCAAATGGCATCCTGTTCCCTATGTAGTGCACTACTTTTGACCAGGGCATGGGTCATGGTCAAATGTAGTGCACTACATAGGGAATAGGGTGCCATTTGGGACACATCCTTTCTCTCTCCTCATAGGCTCATCCCAAGAAAACCTATTCCCTCCTCAGCAGGAGTGGTGAATCATTAACCCCTGGTCAATATCGTTGCACAACACTTTTTACACTAATAACCATTCAATGCTACCTCACAGAATAGGCCTACAACTTCCTCACACACACTTCACCCCAAACACCAATATTTATTTTCTAGTAGTCATTTGAGTTTCTGTCATTCTTCTAAGAATGGAATTTAATAGATTTTTCGATTGACTTGAAGTACTGTTAGAGGAAGTGAAAGGGTCATACAGTATAACTACTGTAGCTTGAAGATTTGAAGGTGACATTTCAATGGGTGTGGTCATTTCTATGGATATCATCCATGTCTAGACTATAAACTTGACTCAACGAGAGAGTGACTCACACAACACCCCGCCAAGGCCAACGTAGACGCCTACTTCGCATGGCATGATGGGAACAACAAATCCTGCATGTGGCCACACATCACTGCTGTTACTGAGGCTTTCTTTCCATACTTCACTGATGTCCTGGCACATCCTGTCAGACTCCCTGTGCTCTCACACACAGAAGCAGTGTAAATATTTGCCTGTGACTGAGTTACAGATCACACACACATCTACAGCTCAGACGTAATCTATAGACTAATCTACTGTAACATAAATGGAATTTACTTTGTTTACAGTCATAATCATTCATTTTATGAACGGCGAGGAGTAAAACAGGGCTTCTTTTGTTGATTATTAGATCCATCACCCTCATGTTATTTCTTTGTGTATTCATTAAATTTGGTTTGCAGGAGAGAGCATGGGCTTCAATGATCAGAGCGGTTGAGCGTCATGCTGAGCTATACTAGCCATAAATACATTGTATCAAGTTCATGTTATATGAGCATCATAGGCTATCTGGGTACAGCTGCAGACATGGAATTCAGTGATTTCTGACAATAAAAGTAATGCATTAATAAGTTGGGAGGTTGCATGCAATGTTTTTATTAGACACATTTGCAATCACCTGCACTAACTTTGTTTACAAAATCATCACAGCTCATTGAGCTCAATGAAGTAAACACACCCCTCCTAATACTCTAACTCATGTCAGTGAGGGTCTGACAGAGAACTCATTATGTCTATTCTAGCCAGGTTCGGTTTTGAGGAAGTCTAATCTACCTCTAATCTAGACTCATAAGGTTATCATCCACAGTTAGTTGATCTCAGGGGAAATATGTTTTCATGGTTTGTAACCTGGCCATTCTGTATTGGTAAATCGTTTTTTATAATCACTTTTTAGGTATGGATTAGGCTAGTTATTTTTTCAAAGCCACCCACAAATGAAGGAGAGATCAAACTGTGGCACTTTAGTTTGACCATATTGCCCAACAAAATGCCTGTATTATCCCAAACAACTGGATCAAATGGCAGATAAAGTAACTACCCTCCATTCATACTGAAAAAGGTAATGATGTCCTCATAAGGCAGGTCCCAAGAACATTTGGGGGGTCAAGCAGGGCTGGGAGTATCAAGATGGAGAGTATCAAGCTCATTTACATTACATTTTACATTCAAGACTGTAGGCCTAGGCACGTATTACACTAACATAATAAGAAAGTAATAAGTGTCTTTGCAATGAGTCAAAGTAACAAATTGCTGATTTGACTCAAATTTCTGAGGTTCCAAACAAACCTGCCATGCAATTGGTAGCTACAGAGGTTCCAAAGTGGTAGCTAGCTACTGCCACACTGTGGTTATGTATGGCATTGCATCATATACCCGTATTAAAAACAGAAAATGCAAACAATGTTTCACAATGTCCAAACTATATTCGTTCGAATGTATCGTTATTGGTTATACTCACTAAACTTTCTACAAAATAAAAGAATTCCACATAGCTATAGCTATCTGGCTACCTTTTCTGATTGACAGCCTTTGAAAACGCCCTTGCTTCTGACCAATCAGCATCTCCCTTTTCTACTTCATCCGCTGACGAGAAACGACTTTCGAACCTTTGGCGGTTGATTGGGATTTGTTTGGTGCTTGCCTGAAGCCAGCTAGGTTGGATGTGAATAACTTTTAAAAACTTGGCAAGTGAGCTGACGCATTAACATGGATTCAACTATGTCGAAACTTCTTGTTGGGCTATCAGTCAACATCCAACGAAGCGATGGTAAGCTAATTTAGCTAGCTAAAGGAATTGTTAGCTAGCTTTGTTTATTTAACTTGTTAGTGTTACAGTTAGCCAGATTTGCCTCCCAAATTATTTACATAGCTAATATGAACATTACTTAGCTATGTAACGTTAGCACTTATTTGTTGTAATACACAGTAACTTTAACGCATGTCATTAAGTTCTACGTTAATAAGTTACAATCGAAAAAGGCATTGTTATTGGTGCATGCGTGGTTAACGTTGTGGTGTTGATTAGCTGCTAGTAGGCATAACTAACTATATAGGATAATTAAGCAATTTTTTGATTTGTTTTTACTAGTTATGGCCGTTGTAGTACTAAAGTTAGGTGACCTAACGTTACACTAAACAAAAATAATTGCAACATGTAAAGTGTTGGTCCCATGTTTCATGAGCTGAAATAAGATCCCAGGCATTTTCCATGTGCACAGAAAGCTTATTTCTCTCATGTTGTGCACAAATGTGTTTACATCCATGTTAGTGAGCATTTCTCCTTTGCCAAGATAATCCATCCACCTGACAGGTGTGGGATATCAAGAAGCTGATTTAAAAAGCATGATCATTACACAGGTGCACCTTGTGCTGGGGACAATAAAAGGCCACTCTAAAATGTGCAGCTTTGTCACACAACACAATGCCACAGATGTCTCAAGGTTTGAGGGAGCGTGCAATTGGCATGCTGACTGCAGGAATGTCCACCAGCGCTGTTGCCAGAGAATGTAATGTTAATTTCTCTACCATAAGCCGCCTCCCATGTCGTTTCAGAGAATTTGTCAATACGTCCAACCGGCCTCACAACCGCAGACCATGTGTAACCACGCCAGCCCAGGACCTCCACATTCGACTTCTTCACCTGCGGGATCGTCCAAGACTAGCCACCTAAACAAGAATTTCTGCACAAACTGTCTCAGGGAAGCTCATCTGCGTCCTCGTCGTCCTCACCAGGGTCTTGACCTGACATCAGTTTGGTGTCGTAACCGACTTCAATGGGCAAATGCTCACCTTCGATGGCCACTGGCACGCTGGAGAAGTGTGCTCTACACGGATGAATCCCGGTTTCAACTGTACCGGGCGAGCGGTTTGCTGATGTCAACATTGTGAACAGAGTGCACCATGGTTTAGTTATGGTATGGGCAGGCATAAGCTATGGACAACGAACACAATTGCATTTTATTCGATGGCAATTTGAATGCACAGAGATACTGTGACGGGATCCTGAGGCCCATTGTCGTGCCATTCATCCGCCGCCATCACCTCGTGTTTCAACATGATATCAAATGAAATTGTATTTGTCACATGCATGTGTTTAGCAGATGTTATTGCGAGTGTAGCGAAATGCTTGTACTTCTAGCTCCTACAGTGCAGTAATATCTAACAATTTCACATATACACACAAATCTAAGTAAGGAATGGAATTTAAGAATATATACATATTTTAGTCATTTAGCAGACGCTCTTATCCAGAGCAATTAGGGTTAAGTGCCTTGCTTAAGGGCACATCAACAGATTTTTCACCTAGTCGGCTCTGGGATTAGAACCAGGTTGAAAATGTCAGCGGAGCCGGTGTAGTACGATTCAATCTTGGTCCTGTATTGACGCTTTGCCAGTTTGATGGTTTGTCGGAGGTCATAGCGGGATTTCTTATAGGTGTCCGGGTTAGAGTCCCGCTCCTTGAAAGCGGCAGCTCTACCCTTTCGCTCAGTGCGGATGTTTCCTGTAATCCATGGCTTCTGGTTGGGGTATGTACGTACGGTCACTGTGGGGACGACATCATCGATGCACTTATTCATGAAGCCAGTGACTGATGTGGTGTACTCCTCAATGCTATTGAAAGAATCCCGGAACATATTCCAGTCTCTGCTAGCAAAACAGTCCTGAGCTTAGCATCTGCGTCATCTGACCACTTCCGTATTGAGCGAGTCACTGGTACTTCCTGCTTTAGTTTTTGCTTGTAAGCAGGAATCGGGAGGATAGAATTATGGTTAGATTTGCCAAATGGAGGGTGAGGGTGAGTTTTGTATGCGTCTCTGTGTGTGGAGTAAAGGTGGTCTAGAGTTTTAATTTTTTTCTCTCCTCTGGTTGCACATTTAACATTCTGGTAGAAATTAGGTTTAAGTTTCCCATGCATTAAAGTCCCCGGCCACTAGGAGCGCCACCTCTGGATGAGCATTTTCTTGTTTGCTTATGGCCTTATACAGCTCGTTGAGTGCGGTCTTAGTGCCAGCATCGGTTTGTGGTGGTAAATAGACAGCTACGAAAAATATAGATTGACTCTCTTGGTAAATAGTGTGGTCTACAGCTTATCATGAGATACTCTAGCTCAGGCGAGCAAAATCTTGAGACTTCCTTAATGTTAGATTTCTTGCACCAGCTGTTATTTACCAATATACACAGACCGCCACCCCTTGTCTTACAGGAGGCAGCTGTTCTATCTTGCCGATGCACCGAAAATCCTGCCAGCTGTATGTTATCCATGTCGTCGTTCAGCCACACTCGGCGAAACATAAGATATTACAGTTTTTAATGCCATTAAACTCTGTAATTGCTTTAAAGTCACCATTGGCCTCATGGTGAAATCCCTGAGCTGTTTCCTTCCTCTCCAGCAACTAAATTAGGAAGAACGCCTGCATCTTTGTAGTGACTGGGTGTATTGATACACCATCCAAAGTGTAATTAATAACTTCACCAGGCTCAAAGAGATTTGTCTGCTTTTTTTATTTTTACCCATCTACCAATAGGTGCCCTTCTTTGAAAGGCATTAGAAAACCTCCCTGGTCTTTGTGGTTGAAACTGTGTTTGAAATTCACTGCTCAACTGAGGGACCTTACAGATCATTGTATGTGTGGGTTACAGAGATGAGGTAGTCATTCAAAAATCACGTTAAACACTATTCCACAAAGTGAGTCCATGCAATTTATTATGTGACTTGTTAAGCACATTATTACTCCTGAATTTATTTAGGCTTGCCATAAGGGGTTGAATACTTATTGACTCGATGTTTCAGCCTTTCATTTTTAAGGAATTTGTAAAAAATTGTAAGAACATAATTACACTTTGAAATTAGGGGTTATTGTGTGTAGGCCAGTGAGAGAACATCTCCATTTAATCAATTTAAAATTCAGGCTGTAACACAACAAAATATAGAAAAAGTAAAGGGGTGTGAATACTTTCTGAAGGCATTGTAGCTCTGGTCCAGGGCATTGCTGTGGCCTAGCTAACGGGGTGTAATTTACATGATATTACTGACTTCTAAATGTCTTTACAGGGCGAGTGCATCCTGCAAACGTCAAATCTGTGGATTCCACAAAGAGAACTGTGATGGTTGAATGGTTTGAGAAATCTGTATGCAGGGGAAAAGAGGTAAGTAGCTCGAGAGAGACAAGTGCCTTATCTATGTTACAGATATTGGACTAAACGCCACTCCGTGGTGAACTTCCTTCACCGTGGAGTTTAGTCCGTTATGTTAGAGTACAATTCAACAAGTGTCATGATTATGCATTTTGCATCGTCACACTTTTTTGCTTTGTACCAGAAGTGCTCCATCTTGAGAACTTTACTGCTGACATGCACAATTTCTTGCGACCATATCAACAGTGCAATAATTAACAAAATACTAATGGATGTTTTTGTTATGGACTCAAGTGATCCGGATGGCAATAGTTGCATCTTTCATAGATCTATCTATGCGCTGTAAGTCTTGTCAACTGAAACTGGTGATTGTTGACATACTACTATTCCTGCTCTTTAGCTCGAAATGAATGAATTATGGCCCCTGAACGAAGCACTTTTTGAGCACATGAAACCAACTAGTACATCTGCTCCTCCAGAGAAGGTAAGCATACTCTAGGGATGGGCCTAGGAACTTGAGGTTCAAAGTGCATTCAATTTGAAAGTTTGTGGTCCTAACATCAGGAGCAATGTTTACATGTGTGATTTTATTTTCTCCAGAAATATGAAAGCCGTCTCCGTTCATCCAGGATCCCTGCTCCTTCCATTCGTAAGTGATTTTGCCTAGTTCTAGTATGTCTTAGAAGTGTGTTTCATTGGTGTGTGTGATGGTTAATTATGGATATTTCCTTCATAAGCTTCTGCTCCAGCGGGTCCTCCTGAGGAGACAGGTTTGCATACAATGCATGTTCTTCTCAAAGCAAATCAAATGCTAAATCACTTTATATGAGATGGAATCACATCATATAGGCCTATTTCCCTGCACACTTAGGCTGTTTACACAGGCAACCCAATTCTGATCTTCTGCCACTAATTGGTCTTTTGACCAATCAGATCTTCAGTCACTAATTTGTCTTTTGACCAATCAGATCAGATTTCTTGCCAATAATTGGGCAAAATATCAGAATGGGGCTGCCTGTGGGCAGCCTTATACCTTGATTTGAAGATACAGGCCATTATGTGACTCCATCTTCAGGTGCACAATCATTTTACTCTTATCTTTACTTACTTGTGCACAATAACTTTACTCATTGATTAACTAATGTAGAGTATACTATACTGTTTCAACTAGAATGCAAATAGTTTTCCAATAGTTCCAGACACTTGTAGAATCTATGCCAAAGGGCATTGAAGCTGTTCTGGCGTCTCATGGGGGCCCAACGCTCTATTAAGACAATTTGTTGGTGTTTCATCTATTTTGACAGTTACCTGTAAACTATACTGTTTCCTACTATACTGAACAAAAATATAAACGCAACATGCAACAATTTCAACGATTTTATCTGAGTTACAGTTCATATTAGGAAATCAGTCAATTGAAATAAATTCATTAGGTCCTAATCTATTGATTTCACATGACTGGGCAGGGGCACAGCCATGGCCCATCCACTGGGGAGCCAGGCCCAGCCAATCAGAATATTTTTCTGCCACAAAAGGCCTTTATTTCAGACGAAATACTCCTCAGTTTCATGAGCTGTCCGGGTGGCTTATCTCGGCAAAGAAGCCGAATGTGCTGGCGTGGTCTACGGTTGTGACACCGGTTGGACGTACTGCCAAATTCTCTAAAATGCTGTAGGCAGCTTATGGTAGAGAAATGAACATTCAATTATTTGGCAACAGCTCTGGTGGACATTTCTGCAGTCGGCATGCCAAATGCACGCTCCCTCAAGTTGAGACATCTGTGGCATTGTTGTGTGACAAACTGCACATTTTAGAGGGGCCTTTTATTGTCCCCAGCACAGGGTGCACCTGTGTAATGATCATGCTGTTTAATCAGCTTCTTGATGTGCCACACCTGTCAGGTAGATGGATTATCTTGGCAAAGGAGAAATGCTCACTAACAGGGATGTAAACACATTTCTGCACAAAATTGTGCGTATGAAAACATTTTAATAAAATGTGCGTATGGAACATTTCTGGGATCTTTTATTTCAGCTCATGAAACCAACACTTTACATCAGGGTTCTTCAATTCCGGTCATGGAGGGCCGAACCAACTTTCTGTTTTGATTCTTACCTGGTAGTTAATTGCACTCACCTGGTGTCCCAGTTCTGAAGTAGCCCTGATTAGAAGGATGAGGATGAAAAACAGAGGTGTTTCGGCCCTCCAGGACCGGAATTGAAGAACCCTGCTTTACATATTGCGTTTATATTTTTGTTCAGTATAGAATGCCATTTTGTGACAAAAGGTTCCTTATGTGATGGGTTCCAAAATATTCAAACTATATAGACATATTTATACGGTAAATTGACCCTAGGCAGTTTGCTTAAGGGTACTAGCACTCTTTCTAGTGAAATGGATCTTATTTCTTAACATACTAGTAGTTAGGTGTTCTTGGTTGTTTCCACAAACACACCACAACTCCTTCTAAAAGCACTAAAGTGGTTCCCAAAGCTACTGTCTGCTTTTCTCTTTTTAACACGGCACTGTTTCTGCTTCATCTCTGTTTTACAGCTTATGTTGAAATCAAAAGTAATGTATTTGCTGCAATTCTCATTGATTATGGCATGCCAGATTCACCCAACTAAAATTGAACACTGATTATTAGTGGTGGTATGAAGGAGCTGGCCAGCTGTTTAGTAGGACTACATATAAATCATTATATTTCTATGGTTTGGTGTCTAGTGTTGGGATCAGTAGGATGATGAACAGGAGTTATTAATCACACCAAAGCTACTTCATTTAACTATAGTGGTAAATGTGCTAAATGTACACCTTTCCTCTCAGTTCCACTTCCAAGAAAGTCTACACGGCAGACATGCTTGTTCCAGACCCCTGCTCCTGTCTCTGAGCCTGCTGCTAAGACTAAGCATGACTCCCTGTCTTCAGAGTATCCTCCCTCTGTCCTCAAAGCTTCAGGTGGGGGGTGCATCTATGATTTCTGATGTATTGCCTTTCACCTATAGCCTGGTCCCAGATCTGTTTGTGCTCTTGGCAACTCCATTGCAGTCATTGTCAAGCCTTTGTTTGGCGTGAGAAGGAGTTGGCATGATGGCATAAACATACTGGCATAATTTATCCCATTACCCACTGAATGCTTCACTCAGTGACTCGGAGACCTCTTGATATTCACCTTTGTCATCCTGCTTCATTTTCCAGGTGTGCCCAACCGAGAGGGGAAGAGGAACAATCAGAGACAGACTGCTGTCCTGCCTCCAGTCAACGAGGACCTAAAGGAGAATGAGGCCAAGAGTGTCTCCTCAGTCACCTCAAGTGAGCTTTAGGAACTTTGAGTCACACACATCACTATGTTTATCGCCCTGGGCCTGTATTTTTTAATTGCCTCGGAAGAGGAGTTCTGATCTAGGATCAGTTTAGCCTTATAGATCACAATGAATAAGATTAAATAGACCTAGATCCTAGTCTGAGATGCCCTGCTATCTTTGAGTATCTTCATCTCATTAGATATCTTCACTCTTTCAGGCAGACGGAGATCAGTGCTACCCCAAGACATGAGCAAACCAGTGTACAAAAGATTGTCCCATGCAGTCAAGAGCTCTGACATGGTGCCCAAGAAAGGAAAAGTAAGAGAATTGATCACAAATGAGACAGTGGTCGTGTCTGAATACCCATATTAGTGTACTAAATAGTATGTGAAAATATAGTATGTGAAATCTCGCGTTGACTCCCGCCATTTGTTAATTTTGGTAGAGCGCGTCAATTCATCTGATTATCAGCTGTTGTCAAACACGTGAGTTGGAAAAGACGAGTGAATTCTACTAGATCAAACACCGAAATGAGTATGCAGTTTAAGTATGTAGTACTCTAGTATGGGTATTCGGACACGGCCACTGTTTGTTTGTTTACCTGGTACTACTGGCCCATGTCCTGTGTTAATTCATCTTTTTGTAGATGCATACTAGTAGGTATATCGGACTTACTGTCAATTTCCCCTTTTATTTTCATTTGAAGCTGAGAACACAGTAAAAGCCTTTACTAATGTATTGGCAATATTAAATACTACTACCATCACTTTCTCCAATACATGTATTTCTGTTCCCTGTAGTTTGAAGACTCAAACCGACCGAACAAGCAGTTTTACCAGATGATTGAAGAGTTCAGAGAGACCTTGGAAGTACTTCCTTTATCTCCATCTGATACGGTAAGATGGAGGACAAGTGTTGAAATGTGGAAGGCTATTCATAACTAGTGTTTATCAGATATGTAATGTTCTTTTTGGTCCACAGGTTGAAGCTCATAGAATCTGTGTGTGCGTTCGCAAGCGTCCTCTCAACAATAAAGGTTACTTTTAACTGACCAAACTAAGACTCTTATCTGACTTACCTGTATCCACCAACCTGCTTCTCAAGTCCTCTTTAATGTTGACTTTCTATGTGTGGTTGACTTAGAGGTGACTAAGAAAGAGATTGATGTGGTGTCTATCCCTGGTAATGGAACGATGCTCCTTCATGAGGCCAAGCAGAAAGTGGATCTGACAAAGTACCTTGACAACCAGGTCTTCCATTTTGACTACTCCTTTGACGAGTCATCCACCAATGACTTAGTGTACAGGTATTCACATTTTATTGATTTCTAAACAATATTGTGTTCAGTTTTTCTCTATCAGGGTTATTTTACAATTTACTGATAAAAAAATAAAAACTTTCTGTTCAAATACCCTTTGCAAGTATGTTCTCTTGTATGACGTTTGTTGGTTGTATCATCATTACTGTTTTCGCAAGATGGTTATATACCAATATTTTTCACTGGTAGGTTCACTGCCAAGCCTCTTGTCCAGACCATCTTTGACGGAGGGATGGCAACTTGTTTTGCTTACGGACAAACTGGAAGTGGTAAAACTCACGTAAGTCTTTCCCTTTACCTGACAGGCTGACACTATAGCAGTTTTGTCTTAAAATCCACCAGATTTTTTTTAACATGTCATGTAAAGTTTGTACCTATCTTTTACCCTATTCAGACAATGGGAGGAGATTTTTCAGGGAAGAGCCAGAACAGCGCCAAAGGGATCTATGCCATGGCAGGTAATTCATTGTCTACTTGCCAATGGCTTCAACAACATTACATTTTTAGCTTAAGTTATTAGGGATGTAATGATTCACCGATACGCATCAGTCTCCGGTTCAAATGTTTAAGACATGAGTGCTTTGTTTATTTATTTTTTGGTACTTGTCTTACCTTTTTACTGCACTGTTAGGAGCTAGAACCACAAGCATTTCGCTGCACCCGCTATAACATCTACTAAACTGTTTAAGCGAGCAATAAAAGTATTTGATTTGGAAATATTTTGATAGTCCTAGATATTTCTGAGATCAGTACTAAGGAATAGATCTGTCCACCTCACATATTAGATGCAAAGAAAAAGGTTATGTACGTGAAGGTTATGTAAATAACCTTTACTTAGGCCATACTTCCATGATGTCTTTCAGTGTCTTGTAACTCCTTGTTCCTCTTTGTTCTTCAGCTCAGGATGTGTTCGCCCTCCTGAAGCAGAGGAGATATTCCAGTCTGGACCTGTGTCCCTATGTGACCTTCTTTGAGATCTACAACAGCATGGTGCGAAGGAAACGCTCATAGTGCTCCTCAAGCAGCTTGGTGGTTTGGATGGTTGACATGTTTTGTTGGTGGAGAATCCATGATAATAGGACAAAAGTTTAGAGAAGACTAATTTGACATTTTGCTAACACACTTGCTTACTCTCCTCAGGTATTTGATTTGCTGAACAAGAAGGCCAAGCTGAGAGTGCTAGAGGATGAGAAACAACAGGTCCAGGTGGTCGGCCTGCAGGAGATGTACGTGTCGTGTGCTGAAGACGTCATCAAGATGATTGAGATGGGCAGTGCATGCAGGTACACATTTTTTATTTTTTTACTCCAACCAGGGTGTGTTCAGTGAGGTGAAACGCTCAGAACTTTACAGATAGAAGTGTAATGAATATGGTTGACATTACTACCTATTCTACTTGATAGACAATCATATCTGTTCTACATTATACATTTCTATCTGAATGTTCTGTAACATTGCACCCTCCTGAACAGGCCCCTTGTCTTTCTCTCCTGACTTTGTCAACCATATGTGTTGTGTTCTTGGTTGTTTTTTTTTGACAAATATGGGCCCAATATCTTTCTCAGAAGAGGAAAGAAAAGCAGCACACTGGCATTGGAGCGCTGCTCATCTTTTCTCTAAGTGTTCTACTCCGCCAACCCAGGTGGGCGTTTTCCTGTCTCCAGACTGACCAATATCCAGGGTGAAAGTAGATGTAATTTCTTCCTGGTACGGGACCTCCTGTGTGTGCACCAAAAAATGTATCGTGGCATTGCGGCCCCCCTCCTATCCTCCTAGCTAAACTATAATAGTGTAGGCTACAGCAGGGCCGGCAGTAGGTTTGGCATTGGGCCTATTTTTTTTCTCACCTAATAGTTGGCAGAACAACATAATTGTAGCCCAATTCATATGCCTGTGCTACAAATTTAAACAACTTTTAACACATCTGGTTAGTAGGCTATATAAATCACTTAAATATCAATAACATATCCTAATATTTTCAATCTGATTACACTGATAAAATCTTAAATCATTTAAACATCTTTTCTCAGAAAGTGGAAAGCTCAATTAATAGGGACAAAAGATAAGTCACATTTTTGTCTCGAATATTGAATCCCGCAGCTCAGCTTCAGAATGTCATAGAAACTAATCAATATATCCCCATATGCATCAGTCACATCTTTGGTTTTAAAGCTTCTGTCTAGCATAATGCATCACGGATTTAAGCATTGTTATAGAACACTTTTGTATTTTATTATGGATCCCCATTAGCTGCTGTCAAGGCAGCATCTACTCTTCCTGGGGTTCAGCAAAATTAAGGCAGTTATACATTTACAATACATTCATAACAGATTTCACAACATATTAAGTGTATGCCCTCAGGCCTCTACTCTACTACCACATCTATAACACAATCCATGTGTACGTGTGTATAGTGCGTATGTTATCGTGTGTTTGTATGCATGTGTCTATGTTTGTGTTGCATCACAGTCCCCGTTGTTCCATAAGGTGTATTTTTACCTGTTGTTTTTTTTCAATCTGATTCTACTGCTTGCATCAGTTACCTGATGTGGTATAGAGTACCATGTAGTCATGGCTCTATGTAGTACTGTGCGCCTCCCATAGTCTGTTCTGGACTTGGGGACTGTGAAGAGACCTCTGGTGGCATGTCTTGTGGGGTATGCATGGGTGTCCGAGCTGTGTGCCAGTATTCCAAACAGACAGCTCGGTACATTCAGCTTGTCGACACCTCTTACAAAAACAAGCAGTGATGAAGTCAATCTCTCTTCCACACTGAGCCAGGAGAGACTGACATGCATGTCATTAATGTTAGCTCTCCATGTACTTTTAAGGGCCAGCCGTGCTGCTCTGTTCTGAGCCAACTGCAATTTTCCCTAGTCCCTCTTTGTTGCACCTGACCACACTACTGAACAATAGTCTAGGTGCGACAAAACTAGGGCCTGTAGGACCTGCCTTGTTGATAGTGTTGTTAAGAAGGCAGAGCAGCGCTTAATTATGGACATACTTCTCCCCGTCTTAGCTACTGTTGTATCAATATGCTTTGACCATGACAGTCTACAATCCAGGGTTACTCCAGCAGTTTAGTCACCTCAACTTATTCAATTTCCACATTATTCATTACGAGATGTAGTTGAAGTTTAGGGTTTAGTGAATGATTTGACCCAAATACAATGCTTTTAGTTCTGGAAATATTCAGGACTAACTTATTCCTTGCCACCCATTCCGAAACTAACTTCAACTCTTTGTTAAGTGTTGCTGTAGTAGCTGATGTGTATAGTGTTGAGTCATCCGCATACATAGACACACTGGCTTTACTCAAAGCCAGTGGCATGTCGTTAGTAAAGATGGAAAAAAGCAAGGGGCCTAGACAGCTGCCCTGGGGAATTCCTGATTCTACCTGGATTATGTTTGAGAGGCTTCCATTAAAGCACACCCTCTGTGTTCTGTTAGACAAGTAACTCTTTGTCCACAATATAGCAGGGGGTGTAAAGCCATAACACATACGTTTTTCCAGCAGCAGCAGATTTTGATCGATAATGTCAAAAGCTGCACTGAAGTCTAACAAAACAGCCCCCACAATTTTTTTTAGCATCAATTTCTCTCAGCCAATCATCAGTAATTTGTGTAAGTGCTGTGCTTGTTGAATGTCCTTCTCTATAAGCATGCTGAAAGTTTGTCAATTTGTTTACAGTCAAATAGCATTGTATCTGGTCAAACAGGTTTTTTCCGATAGTTTACTAAGGGTTGGTAACAGGCTAACTGGTCGGCTGTTTGAGCCAGTAAAGAGTGCTTTAGTGTTCTTAGGTAGTGGAATGACTTTTGCTTCCCTCCAAGCCTGGGAGCACACCCATTCTAGTAGGCTTAAATTGAAAATATAGCAAATAGGAGTGGCAATATCGTCCGCTATTATCCTCAGCAATTTTCCATCCAAGTTCTCAGACCCCGGTGGCTTGTCATTGTTAATAGACAACAACAATTTGTTCACCTCTTCCACACTCACTTTACGGAATTCCAAATTACAATGCTTGTCTTTCATAATTTGGTCAGATATATACTACCGTTCAAAAGTTTGGGGTCACTTAGAAATGTCCTTGTTTTCGAAAGAGAAGCTATTTTTTTTTGTCCTTTTTAAAATAACATAAAATTGATCAGAAATACAGTGTAGGCATTGTTAATGTTGTAAATGGCTATTGTAGTTGGAAACGGCTGAATTGTAATGGAATATCTACATAGGCGTACAGAGGCCCATTTATCAGCAACCATCAGTCCTGTGTTCCAATGGCACGTTGTGTTTGCTAATCCAAATTTATCATTTTAAAAGGCTAATTGATCATTAGAAAACCCTTTTGCAATTATGTTAGCACAGCTGAAAACTGTTGTGCTGATTTTAAAGAAGAAATAAAACTGGCCTTCTTGAGACTAGTTGAGTATCTGGAGCATCAGCAATTGTTGGTTCGATTACAGGCTCAAAATGGCCAGAAACAAAGAACTTTCTTCTGAAACTCGTCAGTCTGTTCTTGTTCTGAGAAATGAAGGCTATTCCATGCGAGAAATTGCCAAGAAACTGAAGATCTCCTACAACGCTGTGTACTACTCCCTTCACAGAACAGCGCAAACTGGCTCTAACCAGAATAGAAAGAGTGGGAGGCCCCGGTGCACAACTGAGCAAGAGGACAAATACATTAGTGTCGAGTTTGTGAAACAGACGCCTCACAGGTCCTCAACTGTCAGCTTAATTAAATAGTACCCGCAAAACACCAGTCTCAACGTCAACAGTGAAGAGGCGACTCCGGGATGCTGACCTTTTAGGCAGAGTTGAAAAAAAAAAAAAAAACATCTCAGACTGGCCAATAAAAATAAAATATTAAGATGGGCAAAAGAACACAGACACTGGACAGAGGAAGATTGGAAAAAAGTGTTATGGACAGACTAATCAAAGTTTGAGGTGTTCGGATCACAAAGAATAACATTTGTGAGACGCAGACCAAATTAAAAGATGCTGGAGGAGTGCTTGATGCCATCTGTCAAGCATGGTGGAGGCAATGTGATGGTCTGGGGGTGCTTTGGTGGTGGTAAAGTGGGAGATTTGTACAGGGTAAAAGGGATATTGAAGAAGGAAGGCTATCACTCCATTTTGAAACGCCATGCCCCATACCCTGTGGACGGCGCTTGATTGGAGCCAATTTCCTCCTACAACAGGACAATGACCCAAAGCACAGCTCCAAACTATGCAATAACTATTTAGGGAAGAAGTAGTCAGCTGGTATTCTGTCTATAATGAAGTGGCCAGCACAGTCACCGGATCTCAACCCTATTGAGCTGTTGTGGGAGCAGCTTGACCGTATGGTACGTAAGAAGTGCCCATGAAGCCAGTCCAACTTGTAGGAGGTGCTTCAGGAAGCATGGGGTGAAATCTCTTCAGATTACCTCAACAAATTGACAACTAGAATGCCAAAGGTCTGCAAGGCTGTAATTGCTGCAAATGGAGGATTCTTTGACGAAAGCAAAGTTTGAAGGACACAATTATTATTTCAATTAAAAATAATTATTTCTAACCTTTTCAATGACTACATTTCCTATTCTAACTCATTTCATGTATGCTTTCATGGAAAACAAGGACATTTCTAAGTGACCCCAATGGTAGTGTACTTGGATGTGTAGTGTCAGCAATTGTTGCTGGCATGTTATGCCTAAGTTTGCTGATCTTGCCAATGAAAAAATTATTAAAGTAGTTGGCAATAGCAGTTGGTTTTGTGATTGAATGAGCAATCTGATTCAATGAATGATGGAGCTGAGTTTGCCTTTTTTCCCAAAATTGATTTTAAGGCGCTCCAAAGCTTTTTACTATCATTATTTATGTCATTTATCCTTGTTTCATAGTGTGTTTCTTCTTTTTATTCAATTTAGTCACATGCCAATCGGTTGTGCAGCCAGACTTATTTGCCATTCCTTTTGCCTCATCCCTCTCAACCATACAATCTTTCAATTCCTCATCAATCCACAGGGATTTAAGTTTTTAGTCATTTTCTTTAAAAGTGCTTTCATCTCAATCTTAAATAAGCATGCCCCATTTAAAAAAATTCAGAACTAAGAACAGAGATAGCCCCTGGTTCTCCTCAGACTTGACTGCCCTTGACCAGCACAAAAACATCCTGTGGCGTACTGCATTAGCATTGAATAGCCCCCGCGATATGCAACTTTTCAGGGAAGTTAGGAACCAATATACACAAGCAAAGGCTAGCTTTTTCAAACAGAAATTTGCATCCTGTAGCACTAACTCCAAAAAGTTTTGGGACACTGTAAAGTCCATGGAGAATAAGAGCACCTCCTCCCAGCTGCCCACTGCACTGAGGCTAGGAAACACTGTCACTACCGATAAATCTACAATAATGGAGTATTTCAACAAGCATTTTGCTACGGCTGGCCGTGCTTTCCACCTGGCTACCACTACATTTACATTACATTTTAGTCATTTAGCAGACGCTCTTATCCAGAGCGACTTACAGTTAGTGAATACATTATTTATTTATTTTTATACTGGCCCCCCGTGGGAATCGAACCCACAACCCTGGCGTTGCAAACGCCATGCTCTATCAACTGAGCTACATCCCTGACGGCCATTCCCTCCCCTACCCTGGACGACGCTGGGCCAATTGTGCGTCGCCCATGAGTCTCCCGGTCGCGGCCGGCTGCGACAGAGCCTGGATTCGAACCAGGATCTCTAGTGACACAGTTAGCACTGCGATGCAGTGCCTTAGACCACTGCGCCACTCAGGAGCTCACTACCCCGGCCACCAGCTCTGCACCCTCCGCTGCAACTTGCTGGTCATGGGTGCACCTCAGCCACGCTCAAGGTCCTAAACGATATTATAACCGCGATCGATAATAGACAGTACTGTGCAGCCGTCTTCATCGACCTGGCCAAGGCTTTCAACTCTGTCAACCACCGCATTCTTATTGGCAGACTAAATAGCCTTGGTTTCTCAAATGACTGCCTCGCCTGGTTCACCAACTACTTTTCAGATAGAGTTCAATGTGTCAAATCGGAGGGCCTGTTGTCTGGACCTATGGCAGTCTCTATGGGGGTGCCACAGGGTTCAATTCTCAGGCTGACTCTTTTCTCTGCTGGTGACTCTCAGATCCACCTCTACGCAGACGACACCATTTTGTATACATCTGGCCCTTCATTGGACACTGTGTTAACAAACCTCCAAACGAGCTTCAATGCCATACAACACTCCTTCCGTAGCCTCCAACTGCTCTTAAACACTAGTAAAACTAAATGCATGCTCTTCAATCGAACGCTGCTGGCACCCGCCCGCCCGACTAGAATCACTACTCTCGGCGGGTCTGACCTAGAGTATGTGGACAACTACAAATACCTAGGTGTCTAGTTAGACTGTAAACTATCCTTCGACTCACATTAAGCATCTCCAATCCAAAGTTAAATCTAGAATCTGCTTCCTATTTCGCAACAAAGCCTCCTTCACTCATGCTGCCAAACATACCCTCGTTAAACTGACTATCCTACCGATCCTTGACTTCAGCGATGTCATTTACAAAATAGCTTCCAACACTCTACTCAGCAAATTGGATGTAGTCTATCACAGTGCCATCCGTTTTGTCACCAAAGCCCCATATACTACCCACCACTGTGACCTGTACGCTCTTGTTGGCTGGTCCTCACTACATATTCGTCGCCAAACCCACTGGCTCCAGGTCATCTATAATCACTGCTAGGCAAATCCCCGCCTTATCTTAGCTCATTGGTCACCATAGCAACACCCACCCGTAGTATGCGCTCCAGCAGGTATATCTCACTGGTCATCCCCAAAGCCTACACCTCCTTTGGCCACCATGCCTTCCAGTTCTCTGCTGCCAATGACTGGAACGAACTGCAAAAATCTCTGAAGCTGGAGACACTTATCTCCCTCACTAACTTTAAGCATCAGTTGTCAGAGCACCTTACCGATCACTGCACCTGTACACAGCCCAACTGAAATTAGCCCACCCAACTACCTCATCCCCATATTGTTATTTATTTTTCTCATTTGCACCCCAGTATCTCTATTTGCACATCATCTCTTGCACATCTCTTGCACATTTGCACTATCATTCCAGTGTTAATACTAAATTGTTATTTTGCACTATGGCCTATTTATTGCCTTACCTCCATAACTTGCTACATTTGCACACACTGTATATATATATTTTCTGTTGTATTTTTGACTTTGTTTTGTTTACCCCATATGTATCTCTGTTGTTTTTATCGCACTGCTTTGCTTTATCTTGGCCAGGTCGCAGTTGTAAATGAGAACTTGTTCTCAACTGGCTTACCTGGTTAAATAAAGGTGAAATAAAAAAAATGGGTGCATGCTTATTAGTAACTGGATTAAGCAATTTCATAAATGTGTCAAGTGCAGTGTCTGTTTGCTCCTCATTACACTCCACGGACCAACATATATTCTTTACATCAACAACATAGGAATCACTACAAAACGTATTGTATGATCTCTTATACACTATATTAGGCCCAGCCCAGCCTTTGGAACTTTGGTTTTCCTAGATATGGCTACTATATTGTGATCACTACATCCAATGGATTTGGATACTGCTTTCAAACAAATCTCTGCAGCATTAGTAAAGATATGATCAATACTGTACTGTTTATAACCACCCTGGTAGGTTGACTGATAACCTGAACCAGGTTGCAGGCACTGGTTACGGTTTGAAGCTTTCTCTTGAGTGGGCAGCCTGATGAAAGCCAGTCAATATTTAAATCACCCAGAAAGTATACACTTTATATTATCTGGATACTTTTTATTTATACATAAATATAAAGTTAACAATTGGTAGGCCTATCCTTTTTGCCTTTTTCTTTAGAAAGGGTATGGTATACCCTCACTCAATTTGAGCCCTGGTTTTAACCAAACACACCCAGTCCTTCTCAGACTATACGGAGTGCATGGTGATAGTATTGGCGGATTTTGGCTACTGACAAATTTATGGATAGCATAATTGTGTCTGTCAAACAGGTAGGCCTGCCTCATTTTGTTATTTTATAGGAAGAAATAAGCTCCAACAAAGCCCTCTTGTTAGTGAAGTCAAAATGAAAATGAAGACGGTTGTTTAAATGAATTATTTTCAGCACCATTTGCTGTCCACCTCGGTTTGATTATTCTGCATCCGCTCCAAAGCTGATGTTTGCCTTTTTAGTTGACTTTCACCTGCACTAGCTCCTCATAAGGTAATGATTTAAAAAGTGTCTCATGACATTGTAATACATGTGGTCTCCAGTCTATGGGCTACAGAAAAACCACATGCGGTACTACTTTCAACTGTAGGCTACATCATTTAGCCCATGTTAAATTAATTTGATGGAGTGTTGATGGAGGTGCATTGTTTTTGGGCAGAATAATGTGATGTGTTATGTGTTGTTGAAGGTGCGTCTTGGTCAGTTTAGCTCGGAAAATGCCGCCCTCGTCAAACTGCCGCTCTAGGTGGCTGCCTAATCCTGCCTAATGGGCGGGGCCTGCCGTGGGGCCTAATCATAGTTATATTTAGAATCCCTATTAATTCAATAGCATCTCTGTGGTCCTAGTCATAAAGATTTGTCATTTGACTTTTAAAATGTGTTACCAATGTATTACCAGTCACATCGTTTTCATCTGATTGTCAATCACTTCAAAGGGCTCCTTTACTAGGCTACCCGTGCAAGTTTCTCCACTCACAACATATTTCAAGCCTCTGAAAAATAGGTGAATGGAAAGAGACATATGTTACACAAAACACCAAGTGTAAAGACATTTGTCAACTGTCATTAGGCCAGAATTAATGCCTCCACTGCTGTCCCCGTTCGGTTTCCGCCACTCATCTCTGCCTTGGCAAAATGTCAATGTTCTCGTCTAACCACATCGCAATTTGGAGCGTAGGCTATACCACCTTTCAAGTCCATTCGCACATTTTTCATGATAAATAATGGTGTAATAAACGACAGTTTTCTTGACATTTTGTTTTCATTATTCTGATGGGCTCATGTTTTACTGGTACAACGTACCCCCACTATTTATTTTGCCGGGATGCCGTACCAGACCACTTTACTTTCACCCCTGCCAATATCTCTTAACTTTAGCGTAGTGAATAACTTGTGAATAACGATCTGATACACCTCTCTTTCTCAGGACTTCTGGCCAGACATCAGCCAACGCCAACTCGTCTCGCTCCCACGCCATCCTGCAGGTGATCCTGCGGAGGAGGAAGCAGGTGCACGGGAAGTTCTCCCTGGTGGACCTGGCGGGGAACGAGAGGGGTATTGACGTTCGCAGCAGTGACAGACAGACCCTCGTAGAGACGGCCGAGATCAACCGCAGCCTGCTCGCTCTCAAGGTGAATACAACTACTGTCTACAACTACTAGCTTAGTGCACACGTGGTAGCAAAACATTCTGCAACGGAAAATGTTTATTGGACATGTTCAGTTAGTCCCTCCATTTTGTGCCTAGTGAATATCATCATATAGCAGGCATACACCACCTGTATGTACAGCAAAACCCTTCAGAAATGTGTTGGCAATGTCACCAGTGGTATCAATGTAACAATATCTTTTGACCTCAAAATAAGAGTTTAAATGTGTATGATTTGAGAATATTCAGTGAGGAGCTAATTCTTTCTACAGTGAGGGAAAAGAGTATTTGATCCCCTGCTGAATTTGTACGTTTGCCCACTGACAAAGAAATGATCAGTCTATAATTTTAATGGTAGGTTTATTTGAACAGTGAGAGACAGAATAACAACATCAAAATCCAGAAAAATGCATGTAAAAAAATGTATAAATTGATTAGCATTTTAATGAGGGAAATAAGTATTTGACCCCTCTGCAAAACATGACTTAGTACGTGGTGGCAAAACCCTTGTTGGCAATCACAGAGGTCAGACGTTTCTTGTAGTTGGCCACCAGGTTTGCACACATCTCAGGAGGGATTTTGTCCCACTCCTCTTTGCAGATCTTCTCCAAGTCATTAAGGTTTCGAGGCTGACGTTTGGCAACTCGAACCTTCAGCTCCCTCCACAGATTTTCTATGGGATTAAGCTCTGGAGACTGGCTAGGCCACTCCAGGACCTTAATATGCTTCTTCTTGAGCCACTCCTTTGTTGTCTTGGCCGTGTGTTTTGGGTCATTGTCATACTGGAATACCCATCCACGACCCATTTTCAATGCCCTGGCTGAGGGAAGGAGGTTCTCACCCAAGATTTGACAGTACATGGCCCCGTCCATCGTCCCTTTGATGCGGTGAAATTGTCCTGTCCCCTTAGCAGAAAAACACCCCCAAAGCATAATGTTTCCACCTCCATGTTTGACGGTGGGGATGGTGTTCTTGGGGTCATAGGTAGCATTCCTCCTCCTCCAAACACGGCGAGTTGAGTTGATGCCAAAGATCTCCATTTTGGTCTCATCTGACCACAACACTTTTACCCAGTTCTCCTCTGAATCATTCAGATATTCATTGGCAAACTTCAGACGGGCATGTATGTGTTTTCTTGAGCAGGGGGACCTTGCGGGCGCTGCAGGATTTCAGTCCTTCACGGCGTAGTGTGTTACCAATTGTTTTCTTGGTGACTATGGTCCCAGCTGCCTTGAGATCATTGACAAGATCCTCCCGTGTAGTTCTGGGCTGATTCCTCACCGTTCTCATGATCATTGCAACTCCACGAGGTGAGATCTTGCATGGAGCCCCAGGCCGAGGGAGATTGACAGTTATTTTGTGTTTCTTCCATTTGCGAATAATCGCACCAACTGTTGTCACCTTCTCACCAAGCTGCTTTGGCGATGGTCTTGTAGCCCATTCCAGCCTTGTGTAGGTGTACAATCTTGTCCCTGACATCCTTGGAGAGCTCTTTGGTCTTGGCCATGGTGGAGAGTTTGGAATCTGATTGATTGTTTCTGTGGACAGGTGTCTTTTATACAGGTAACAAACTGAGATTAGCTGGACTCCCTTTAAGAGTGTGCTCCTAATCTCAGCTCGTTACCTGTATAAAAGACACCTGGGAGCCAGAAATCTTTCTGATTGAGAGGTGGTCAAATACGTATTTCCCTCATTAAAATGCAAATCAATTTATAACATTTTTGACATGCATTTTTCTGGATTTTTTTGTTATTCTTTTCTCTCACTGTTCAATTAAACCTACCATTAAAATTATATACTATAGGTCCAGAGTAGAGCCTGACCAATATTTTTTTTTTGGGTCCGATTTGTTTTTTTTGGGGGGGACAACTTTCCGATACAATAGATCTGCCGATATATACTGTTTTACGCAGAGAAATGGAAAAGTAAAAGAAAATTACACTGAATTCTCATAAATTGCCTTCTAAAAGCGCAATTGTCCAATAATGTTAAAATGTTGATTTCTTACATTGTGAAATTAATGACACATGATAATGGCCACAAGTGTTCAGATAAGCATGAGATTCCCCTTTTCTGTCATTTATTGACTCGGTGGAATTATCTGGCTCTAGTATATTTCCTTGCTGTCCAATTTTGCTAACTATTTTCCTCTATCCATCTTTTGGGGAATTATTTTATGCTCCTGGACTGTCTAGCTTTCGTTTCGATGACTGAAGATACTATATAAATGTGGGTCAATTTATTTCTACACAGTTACAATTAGGTTTTAGTTTGGATGTAACGATTCACCGATACGCGTCGTTCCCGAGTCAGACGTTTTAAGATATGACTACATCGGTCCGCTGACCCCAAACCTATCCAAATGTAGCATGCATAGGTCAGAAAATAGATTAAGATGTTACAAAACTTCTATTCACATTTTTTGGTGGTAGTGGGCTCAGATCAGGTGCCTACATAGAGTAATATACACCATAGACATGCATCATTTACGCACACCCAGAAGTCAGCTCCGACAGATCCAGCTCGGGGAGGCCCAGTTTAGGAGCTCCATCAGCAGATTTGAATTTGGAATGGAAAATGAATGCGTTACTGCATCGAATCATATCGAACCGAATCACATCGATTAGTTCTCTAATCAAACCAAATCGCACTGAATCATTTCAAACCAATCGTTCCTGCATCGTATCGGAGCTTATGTACCTAGGTACGTATCGAATTGTCTTGAAAGGGAAAGATGCACATCCCTAGGTTTTAGTAATTTCAGTGTCGATTGAGATCGTTTTTCTCTATTTAAAAAACAAATGTTTACATTTTTGGGCCCAAACCACCCACGTGCCGGATTTAGTGGGATCTGTATGTTTGACACCCCTGGTCTTAACGCTGCTTGCTCCCTCCTCTCCCTGTAGGAATGCATTCGCTCCTTGGGGATGGACAGCCACCACATCCCCTTCAGGATGAGCAAGCTGACACAGGTGCTCCGAGACTCCTTCATCGGAGAGAACTCCAGGACATGCATGGTAAGGCTTGTCTCCTTTCTTTGGGCTTTAGCTCTAGAGGCACATGTGCTTGATAATGACAGCAATGGAGTTGTCAAGAGCACCAACAGATCTGGGACCAGGCTAAGCTGTGGTTGTTCCCCCTCTCTTGAAAAGGAAAAGGTGCTCACCATTTTTTTTGACTCGTTGTTTTATTTAAGCAAAGTTAAAAGATTGACGTTTCAGACATCAATGACCTTCCCTCTCTCTACATTACTAGAAGGTAGACCTAATATCGGGTATAATGTTGGTTGGTTTTCTTATTTTCCAGATTGCAATGGTGTCTCCTGGAATGTCCTCATGCGATTCCACTGTAAACACACTACGCTATGCAGCCAGGTACCGTCAAAACAATCAATGGATATTATCCTTATTATTTTGTTGTTTTTCCAGTAGTAAGCCTAAATGTAAAACAAATTTGTTGTCATAGAGTGAAGGAGCTGAACGGGACGTCAAAGGTGAATGATGCTGATCTTCCCAAGAAGATTGAGATGGAAGTGGACAGCTCTTCATCAGAAGAGGTGAGATCAAAAGACCATGGGCCCTGGTCAAAAGTAGAGTGCTATATAGGGAATAGGATGCTCCTCGCCTGTTTAGTTGCTTAGCACTGATTGGTCCTCAGGGGACAGACTGTGCTAATTAAGTTTTTAAAAAGAGATTTTACATTTTAGTCATTTAGCAGATGCTCTTATCCAGAGTGACTTACAGTTAGTGAGTGCATACATTTGTTTCAAAAAAAAATTTCTGACCAGATACTTCCTGTTCTTCAGTGTGTCATAGCAGAGGTTCCCACACTTTTTAACTCGGGGGGGGGGGGGCTCCCCTTCCAGCATTGAGGAACATCCCGCAACCCCCCCGTGCATGCGCCATGTCAATTTCTATGGGCACAAGCACTGTTCATGACACAAACTGTTCACACCCCTCTTGTTGCTGGAGAGAATTTTGCAGGTTTAAAGCTAATTTTATTTTTAATTCTATACATTTTGCCATGTCTAATGTGTATTCATGTGATATTTTGGTGACAAAAACATTACAATATATGTGGGCTAAAAAACCTAAATAAACACAGTTAGCTGACATGGGCTAGTTGATCTGGACATTTCTGACAAGTAATAAATAGCTCTCGAAGGTATTCAATGACTAACACGACAAGAGGAACTGATGATGCACTACCCAATTTCTAAATTGCTCCTTGTGCATTCTACTATTACAACTTTCAAGAGTACGTTTTAAAGCCGGACTGAGTTCCTAGATGGCGCGTCCCCCAGTTTGGGAACCACTGTAGTATCAAGTGCTAAAGTGGGCATGTTATTGACTTCTGATCTTCTTTGCAGGACTCCATTGTGCCCATGACCGATGTGTACGAGGCCATATCCCAGGTGTACGAGGCCATATCCCAGGTTTCTGAGCTGGAGGAAAGGGTACACGAGGAGTTGATGGTATACCTATATCTATGTCCCAAAGACTCCTTGTCTGACATATTCTGAACCTAGAATTGCAATATAATTTGATGCAACTGCAGGGCTCGACATTAATGCTTGTCCGGGGCAAGTAAAATAAATATTTGGACAAGCAGATTATAGATTTAAGTTGTCTGAGTGGACAAGTATATATATTTTTTTAAGTAACATGCAAAATTCACTATCAAACAATTAGGCTACTCCGATCATAATTGGATCAGTGTCCTCCAGATGCGATGTTTTGCTCACTGTCCTCCCAATCTCTGCAGAGCGCATTGGAATGTAATTATTGTAGGCCTACATTGACAGGCATGAGCTGTCTTTCAATCATGCAGTTGTGAGATGCGTTTTTGAGATGAAAATCAGCCTAGCCGCAATTGCACATTTGTTGATAATTGCTAGTGAGTCATTTGCCCAGTTATAGCACATTTTTGGTTAGCAATGAAAATCCTGGAAAAGTCATGGTGTGTGCATCACCTGTGTGTGAGCCAGTGCGCCGTTGCCAGAGGAGAGAGCAAGAGAGACATTTTGCACAGCGGGTAAAATAATGACATACAACAGACTAACTAGATTACCAGCCAAACTACACAATGTTTTGAATTGACTATCTCGCTAGATAACTATTAGCATGCTTTAATGTCATGTCCGATGTCTTAAAATAACTTTTCACTGGCACTAGTGTATAACTGCAAATGGCCAACACACAGTTGATGAAACCAATGCTGCATACTGCGGTTCTAAAACAGTCTCTCAAGCACTCAAAATTGGCTAGGATTCTCCTCTATTCAATACTGGCCATGTAATTCTGACAAAGTTAACAAATATTCTTAGAATAGCCTAACTGACAAGTATCTCCTATGCTGTCAAGATCTCCCATGAACACTGAATATTTTAACCTTACCAATAGATAAACGTCTTTGTTAGCTACCTCGTCCACATTAGCCATTTGATCACTAGTTCATTGAATGAGGGAATTATTTTATAAAGACAAAGTACTTTTATTAAGTACTTTTATAAAGACAAAAAGTACTTCGTTGTAAAATAATGTTGCAGGGTGGCCAACCCTCCTCCTGGAGAATCCAGGAGAGCTACTGGGTGTGCAGGCTTTTGCTCCAGCCACGTGTTTTATACAGTAGCCTGTCAGTGCAGTGTTTTACTTTGGGGGGGTTAAGTGCCTTCCTCAAGGCCTCAACGGCAGGAGATATAATACATGGGATCAGAGAGCAGCAGCTTTCCATTGTCAACACCAGTGACAATAATGAAGGTTGTTCTGTGTAGTGGTTCCTTGCATCATACAACACAATTTTCTGTCAACTTTTTGGTTGGGGGCAAGTGACTTGAGCTTTCGGACAAGTAAAAAATCTATCCTACTTGTCCAAAGAACAAGTTGCTGATAAGTTCATGTCAAGCACTGCAACTGGACTGGAAATAACAAATAACCGTAGTGTTAAAATGATACTGTGTAATGACACTTTTTTTGAATGACTAAGTTCACTGTCTTTGTTTTCTTGTTTTCTGTTGTACAGGGAGCCAGTAATATTCTCAAGCCAATGGAGATGCCATCATATGACATTGAGGCTGGGGTGACAGATATTGTGGACTATGCAAGAAAATTACTGGGTGTGTGGATGTGTTAAGAAACCAGCTACATTTTGTAATTCCATCAACAACAAAAATTCTCAGCCTAACCTGAGGTCTGAAGTCAAGGTTGATCCCAAGTGCATCCTCTAGCTTTTCTAACTCTGGCCTTGGCTGATTATTATTTTTTATTTTTTACAGACACAGTCCTGGCATTGCAGTCTGCCATTGATGGAGAGCGACTGGCAAGGATGTCACCCAAATCAGGTTATTGCTGAGAGGGACAGCCACTCAACTTGTTCACTTGGACATATTTTTCTAATAAGTTTCATGGAGTTGTTTTCTCATGCAATAACTATTAACCATTGTGCAAGGGTTCAATTGGGCATAAATTCCCTTCCGCTAACTTTAATTAATGGTAAATGAAAGAAAACACAGCCTCTCACTACATACCATAAATGTCCATGAAAGTATGTTAACAATTCATGTTTTAAATTGATTTGTATTCAAACTGGAGATTTGTCCAACATTTAAATGATTTATGAATATAATAAAGGTCTTTACCGGTATGTTATTTTGTTGCATTTATCAACCAACCATTTGCCTGATGCTGTTTAATTTCCTTCAAGAAGTTTAAATGTGTTTCCTGTGTTTGTATACATGCCCTACCATGGAGCTGCATTCTAGCCCCATGACATCAACAGAGAGACCACTGGAGGATGACCCGTGCACATCTGCCTAGCACTCTGTGGGGGCTTTTTTTTACCTCCCTTTCTTCCTCCTCCTTGACCCCAAACCTCTACTATACACAAGCCCAACTTGTGTATACACATACCCTGCAAGCAAAAGCTGACACATGACATATCAAAGCCCTAATAAACATATCACACTGAACAATTTTCCCCAAAGGATAAAAATAAGCATTCTGCTGGCAACTGGGTGGCCCCACAGCATGGTGTGAGGCCTTGCATGCAGCACAACTGTTTCCTATGAGCACAACCCCCACCCCCATCTCACTGGGTGGTACTCCCCTCCCTTCTCCCAAACCAACCCTCCCCCAACCAGCAGTGTTGTCTGCCCATTCTCACAGGCAAGTGCTATGTGAAACACTTTGCAATGGCCTTGTATATACCGCAAATGCAAACTTTTCTTTGAACTCTCAATAATGGTTAACGAGCACAGTTTTTATTATTTCCTTGTTTGTGATGACATGCAGCTCTGCCTTTTTGAGTTTATTTTTTTTTATCGGCTAGAAAACAATTTGTTACACAGACCACACGTAGCCACATCAACTTGTTGAAAGTTATATAGCTCATTCTTGATGTCCATCTAGTGCTGAACAGGGTTTCAGAATTTAATTTAATTTTTTTGCTCCCCCTCAGCTGTGTGCTTCAGTCATTTGATAGCATATTGTTCACTTTTGTTATGTAAAATACAGCGATATCAGGAACAGCCCTGATGTTCTCTATAGTGATGTTCAATGTAGTTTTTATAAAGGCACGTTTATTCATTTGTATAGTGGATTAACAGAGAACCTCAACCTACTGCATTTACTTCACACAATCAGATATGAGACTAGCAGTTGCAGTACATCTTTTAATCTTTGTCATTTTTAAAAGGTGATAATAGGCTCATGTTTCAGACCTTAATTCACCCTTATCTACTATTTCACAACACTGATAATTTCTGCTTCTGAATTGTTAATTACTTTGCCAAATCCCCTTGTGTGTCCTTTCAAATTCCTGATTTTCCTGAATTTTTGAGGGTGTAAAAAAGCCAACTGCCTCTGAAAGATGCTGAGATTTGAATGTGGAGCTGTGTTTCATGTGAGCTGGGGCTTGTATCTCTTGGCCCTGAGACTGTTTGGATGCATCCCAAATAGAACCCCATTCACTTTATAGTGCACTACCTTTGACCAGTGCCCCATTGGTGCCATTTGGGATGCACATTTGGACTGCTCCCTGGATTCCAGCTGTCCACATGAATATTTTCTCTGTGCAAAGAAAATTGGCAGTGGCTGCTGCTCAGTTCCCATCACCTCTACAGACTAAATAAACAGACAAACCACCCAGCGAGTTAGTCCATCGGAGGAGAGCGGAGCGCCGGCCAGCCCTTGTTTTTATTTTCTTCCTGCCTCCTTCCCTTGTTCCCTCTGACTATCTCCTTTTGTCATCCTCTCAGGACTGCTCTGTCTGTCTCTATGGTGTTTGTTATCTGAACAAGAGCCTGTATGTGTCTATCAACATTAGTCCTGTCTGTCTGCAGCACTATACACCAAGCTGATCCTTTAATGGACCCAGTTATGGATACATAAGCCGAAAATGGGACTGAAAGCATCATTTTGATTCCTATATGTGTATTGTCTTAACCTACAATGAAATTAAACCATGTTTTATTTGGTTGATTAACACAAGATTGTTTACCTTAGTCACATTCTCTTAACACTTTTAGTAAAACAAATCTCTAGAGCTTTTTGTTCTGTTATTGCAATTGCCTGGCTGGAAATAATATTGGCTCTGTTTTTGGTAAATAATGGGTGCTGAGTTTCATAATGCATTCTACTGTTTAACCAGTAGAGGTCAGTCTAACTGCAACCAGGGGAGCCATACAAGGGCTGTTATGACGTTGGCCACTCATACAATCTTTCAGTGGGATTAAATAAAGAAAATGAGTGGACTGTTTCTTCTGACAATCTGTGAAAACTGCATGCCAGTAAATCTGTGTATACTCGGAATTTGTAGCCTACCCTGAAATTACCTGTTTCTTTACACAATGAAGTCCATTTGTATAATTTTGCCTGAAACTCTGAATGCTAAGATGTTATTTTCATTTATTTATACGTCAGTTCTCAAGAATGATGCACTGTATGCACATCTTATTGAATTGACTGCCACCATCCATCCACATTTGCTCAACCACATCCCATTTTAGTGTAGGTTTGCCCAGGTGGCTATGTTTATAAAAATAAAAAAAATTGTCAGCATGGTACACACAGGTGCAACCACATACTATTTGTTTGACCAGTAGTTACAAAAAGCAATGATAGAGATTTCACATGTCATACATACAGTGGGGGAAAAAAATATTTAGTCAGCCACCAATTGTGCAAGTTCTCCCACTTAAAAAGATGAGAGAGGCCTGTAATGTTCATCATAGGTACACGTCAACTATGACAGACAAATTGAGAAAAAAAAATCGAGAAAATCACATTGTAGGATTTTTAATGAATTTATTTGCAAATTATGGTGGAAAATAAGTATTTGGTCACCTACAAACAAGCAAGATTTCTGGCTCTCACAGACCTGTAACTTCTTCTTTAAGAGGCTCCTCTGTCCTCCACTCGTTACCTGTATTAATGGCACCTGTTTGAACTTGTTATCAGTATAAAAGACACCTGTCCACAACCTCAAACAGTCACACTCCAAACTCCACTATGGCCAAGACCAAAGAGCTGTCAAAGGACACCAGAAACAAAATTGTAGACCTGCACCAGGCTGGGAAGACTGAATCTGCAATAGGTAAGCAGCTTGGTTTGAAGAAATCAACTGTGGGAGCAATTATTAGGAAATGGAAGACATACAAGACCACTGATAATCTCCCTCGATCTGGGGCTCCACGCAAGATCTCACCCCGTGGGGTCAAAATGATCACAAGAACGGTGAGCAAAAATCCCAGAACCACACGGGGGGACCTAGTGAATGACCTGCAGAGAGCTGGGACCAAAGTAACAAAGCCTACCATCAGTAACACACTACGCCGCCAGGGACTCAAATCCTGCAGTGCCAGACGTGTCCCCCTGCTTAAGCCAGTACATGTCCAGGCCCGTCTGAAGTTTGCTAGAGTGCATTTGGATGATCCAGAAGAGGATTGGGAGAATGTCATATGGTCAGATGAAACCAAAATATAACTTTTTGGTAAAAACTCAACTCGTCGTGTTTGGAGGACAAAGAATGCTGTGTTGCATCCAAAGAACACCATACCTACTGTGAAGCATGGGGGTGGAAACATCATGCTTTGGGGCTGTTTTTATGCAAAGGGACCAGGACGACTGATCCGTGTAAAGGAAAGAATGAATGGGGCCATGTATCGTGAGATTTTGAGTGAAAACCTCCTTCCATCAGCAAGGGCATTGAAGATGAAACGTGGCTGGGTCTTTCAGCATGACAATGATCCCAAACACACCGCCCGGGCAACGAAGGAGTGGCTTCGTAAGAAGCATTTCAAGGTCCTGGAGTGGCCTAGCCAGTCTCCAGATCTCAACCCCATAGAAAATCTTTGGAGGGAGTTGAAAGTCTGTGTTGCCCAGCGACAGCCCCAAAACATCACTGCTCTAGAGGAGATCTGCATGGAGGAATGGGCCAAAATACCAGCAACAGTGTGTGAAAACCTTGTGAAGACTTACAGAAAACATTTGACCTGTGTCATTGCCAACAAAGGGTATAAAACAAAATATTGAGAAACTTTTGTTATTGACCAAATACTTATTTTCCACCATAATTTGCAAATAAATTCATTTAAAAATCCTACAATGTGATTTTCTGGATTTTTTTTTCTCATTTTGTCTGTCATAGTTGACGTGTACCTATGATGAAAATTACAGGCCTCTCTCATCTTTTTAAGTGGGAGAACTTGCACAATTGGTGGCTGACTAAATACTTTTTTCCCCCACTGTACATTGAATTAGGCCTACACTACTTAATTCAGGAGATATGTCTTCCCTACACACCACAAATTATAGCAACACGTTTACTGAAGATCCTATTTACAGCATGGGAGTGATATGTGAAGTCTCAAGTCCTTTATGGGGCGGCAGATAGCCTAGCGGTTAAGAGTGTTGGGCCAGTAATCGAAAGGTTGCTGGTTCTAATCCCCGAGCCGGCAAGGTAGAGCATGGCCGTTGACCTCCTACTGCCCGGGCGACGATGAGGTTAAATGCGGAAGACACATTTAGGTTGAATGCGTTCAGCTGTGCAACTGGCTAGGGATTCCCTTTCCCTCTGCTATATCTTTGGGTTTACATAAGGTTTCTAGGTTGGGTTGTTAGTTGTCATGCTCAAAAGGGAAACAAATGTGTCTTGCCCCATTTGAAAGGGCATTCCCTTCATGAATCTTAATAAATATGGCTAATAGCAAATACATATGTATCTTTGTGAACAGGCCTTTGGCCCAGACCCCATGTTTCATGTGGTAAGGCCCACAGGGGCAGCATGCAATCTGGGGTGGGATTGGACTGGGGTTGGGGCTAGATAAGCTGGGCTCCTAGAAGAGCTTGACCTACTCCCCACCACTGATGGATTTAGGTGATGAAACCATTTGGTTAGGGATTTGTAGCCTCTTCTAGCCTAGCATACTCAACCACCTTGGAGTCAAACCATTACGCTGTAGCTGAAAACAGTTCATAGTGCTTAGCGCCTTAACACCTAAAACAATGTCAGTCTTTGGAAATTATGTTTATGATTTCCTATGCACTGTAGTGTAGAGTTAAGTATAACAGACATATAACATGACCTAATCTAATAACTACGGTCGTTAGACTTTGATGACCATCAGTGATCCACTCAGTATTAGAGTTAGTAGTGTAGGTCCCCATGTGAAAGGTCTTTCTCCAGAGGCCTTTCTTGGAGCTGCTGTTATGATTGAGCAGAGTTTCCCTCCTTTCTACATGTGGTAAGTAGTCCGTAGAGCCACTCTGTCTTTTACAATTTCCCTATTGTTGCGCAGTCTCATTGCAGAGGGTGGTGCGATCAGCCCAACGCATCATCGGGGGTACACTGCCTGCCCTCCAGGACATCTACAGCAACCAGTATCACAGGAAGGTGAAGAAGATCATCAAGGACCTCAGCCACCTGAGCTGATCACCCCGCTACCATCTAGAAGGAGGAGACAGTACAGGTGCATCAAAGCTGGGACCGAGAGACCTGATAAACAGCTTCTATCTCCAGGCCATCAGATTGTTAAACAGTCACCACTAGCCGCCCAGTACCCTGCCCTGAACATTAATCATTGTTCTAGCCAGCTACCACCCAGTACTCTACCCTGCACCTCAGAGACTGCTTTGCTCTATGTACATAGAGTCATTGAACACTGGTCACTTCAATAATGTTTACATACTGTTTTCTAGTCAAAGCTCAAACTATATACTGTAACTACTGCTGTACACACCTTTTCTATTCATATACTGACCATACTGTCTATACACACCATTATATACAGTACACAGTAGACAGTACATATATACTCCGGATTCTGATATTTATTTATTTATTTATTTTTGCTTTTTGGATTATGTGCTATTGTTTTGTATTGCTAGGTATTATTACTGCACTGTTGGAGCTAGAAACACAAGCATTTCGCTCCACGTGCGATATCTGCAAATCTGTGTACGCGACCAATACACTTTGATTTGATACTCCACCCTGTGAAGAAGGACTTCAGTGTAGAGCAGAGAGAAGACAGGCTTCTGTTTTGGAACAGAACAGAACAGCAGGCCAAAGCCCTGGACTGAAACCCAAATGGCACCCGATTCCCTATTTAGTGCACTACTTGCGACCCGTGCCCATAGGGGTCTGGTCAAAAGTGTGGGACTCAATCCTGAACATTATTAGTCAAGGCAGTTTCTAGGCTATAGAAATCATGGTTAGGATAAAGATATAACATATGCTTTTATGGCTTATAACGTATCCTATTCTATTCATTTGGGATTCAGAACAGAGAGAGAGAGGTATGTTAGCCTAGGGAGAACATAGAAAGGAACATAAATAGCCTAGTGCAGAAACATGTCAGTGTGCTGTTAGCATTGGTTTCAAGCATCCTTTTTATGGACAGAGCTGGGATGTTTGCGCAGAGCGAGGGACATATGGTGCAGCTCCCACAGCTATATGCCATGTTGAGCTGGCCACATTAAATGCCTGCCAGTCTGCACTATTCATTAGCTTTTACTGCCACTTGCATGTGTTTAATTATAATCCTCTGCTTCTCTCCCTCTCCAGATTGCTCTACAATGCCATGCCACCTAGTGATTATTCTCCATTCCAATTTAGAATTTAGAACCCAGTCTTATGTTATTTCACAGTCACACTGAGATGTAGTGTGTAATTTGTAAAAGTGCAGCCAGCATGTATTCACTAGTCTGTCATCCCCAAACGGAGCCCCAGCACAATGCAACCAACCCCAATGTGGCTGGCATTCAAATTGTTATTGTTTTAACCAAACAAACCACTTCTAAACATTAGGTTTGCATTACGAGCTCATATTTAGGCCCTTCTGTAAACATGGCGGGCCAGAATGAATCAATTAAAAGGGCATTACGTTGGTTCCTGTTTATTTAAAACATGTTTACACTGCAGGGGCCGGCCTGGAAATTCATATTGTTCATCCAGTCAGAGAGAATGTATAAATTGCAAACACATTTGTAAGCTTGACGTACATTTTGTAAATATTGATCTCTGCGTGATGGAGTGTAGTCAGACGACTGATTAGAAGAAACAAAATGGAGGAACATTCTTTAGGAGCAACATTCCATAGGTGCCTGCCTGCACAAACACAATGCACATTGCATCAACTTTTACATTGTGCTAATTTACTACTACTACTAAGTTAGTAATAAAATATGTAGCATATTATACATTATTTAAGATAGTGATTGCCAGTGAAAACTATAGCATTAGTAATTTGTGTTGTACCTCTTTAAAGTGAAGTTATTCACTCTGTTAAAAATGTTTCACAATGCTTTAGGGGTCTTAATCCAATTGAAGACATCCCAGAAGGAATAGGATTTAGGAGATATGTTTCAACTAGTACATTTGGTCATTCTATTCATCCTACTTTTTTCCACTGTTGCTGCAAACACAGCCCCCCCCCCCCCCCCCCCTCACACACACTCAAACGAGCATTTGGACTTTTCTCTGGAATAAAATAGTACTTATTATTTTCTTCATTTTGACTGAATCCTAGCATTTTGAAGCTCTATTTTCCTTTTACAGTATAATATGTTGAGGAAGGTAATGCACGGTGTGCTAATACTTAAGGAGCCGTCCCCTCACCCACCTTCCCTCTCCCAAGGCTCTAGGGGCACGACAGTAACTTCAAAAGTCCCAGACATATCAGATTCAGACAGGCCCAAGGTAGCTGACAACTGAGATGTTGTTGTGGGAAGCACAGGAATTTACAGCATACAGCTTTCATCTACACAGGTGGGCCTGTTGTGTGGAGGACAGTGGTGTTGGAGTCGTAACAATGAAGCAGGAAGTCAGAGAGGCTTCTAGTCTTCTCTACTCTAGTACTAGTAACTGAACATTGTTATTTTTCCTCCAAACAATAGCTAGCTAGCAGCAAAGATGGTAACTAGTTGAAGTTTCAACATTTGTTAGCCCTACAGAAGGGGGAAATAGTGTTACTCCATGACCAAATCATGATTTGTATGTAAAATGTGTTATATTGGCTTGATCTAGGAGAGAGTCCTTGAGTGGACTGTTAAGTAGTTCTGGAAAGAGAATGATTGACTAAAGATAAGACAGCAGGTCAGGATTGTGTCCACTGCTTCACAATAAGGTTGATGGAATGCGTTTCTTAGACACAATCTTAGACATTTAGTGATCTTGGGACTATAAGGTTCTATCTGCATTTTTGTCAAAATTGAGTTATTGACATAGCCTTGTTCTCTACCTATATAGTACTCTAAATATCCCAATTCATGTTGTTAAGTTCAAAAGAATACAAGATAAAAATTGGTGACACCATTCAAACCAATGAGGGTTCCAAACTTTAGGCCCTGGAGAACTTGTCGTGTCAGCAGGGCTATTAAACAGGGCTATGTATTTATCCAGTAAACAGATCTGTCACTAACAAGTTGTAAGATGACCTAGGGAGGCGATAAAGCTGTTGACTTTGCTAATAGAAGCTAACAGAAAAAACACACCAGAGTTGATTGAGAAAAGACCAATGGAAACAGATAGGATTTTCTTTTTTTTTTAAATTTATTTTGTTAGTTAAATTCCTATAGAAGGTGAGGGAAAACAATGGTCACACAAGGGTTTTCTTGAGCATAGTTTTCGGAAGTCACAGTGTTTTAGACATCGACAAAAAGAGTACAACTTCAAATCATTACATGAAGAAGGAAAGGTAAGGAAACTTAACATGGTGGACAGTGTCTGCCACACCTCTCCTTCATTTTCCAAGTGTACCCTTTTCTCCAAAAAACAAAAACAAAACAGGGTCTGTCTGAAACCCCCTCTACTCATTGTGGACCCCCCCCCCCATCCCTCACAAAAATAATAGCAACCAAACAAACGAAAACAACAAAAAATAACTCCGCAACAATAGATATAATTATATATAATATATATTTACTCTTTAAAAATAGAACTTCAGTCTAGTGACTAACATCTGTACAAACTACAAAAATAAATTTTTTAGATAAATAATTTATATGGCATGACATACATTTTAAACAAAACTACAACCCTTTGCAGAACCCCCACCCTGGCACTCCTATAACTTACACACTCATGTATTTCTGTATTGAAGCAGTGAATGAATGTAGGTTGTTCTCTTATTCTTTTTTTGTTTACTTCCAGAATGCACAGTAGCTACTTTATTTTTCTTTCATAACTCTATGTACAAAAGAAACGCAAGCTGCCACTTAAATCTATTACATTTCCCTGCATTTAAATTGGCAGTGATGTGACCAATACTGAACAACTGAACTTTGTCCATAATACAAACAAAATCACAGAAATGCTGGCTTGCATGTGAGCTACACTGACGAGAGAGAGAGAGAGAAGAGAGAGAGAGAGAGAGAGAGAGAGGAGAGAGAAGAGAGAGAGAGAGAGAAGAGAGCAGAGAGAAGAGAGAGAGAGAGAGAGATAGAGAGGAGAGATAGAGAGAGAGAGAGAGAGAGAGAGAGGAGAGAGAGAGAGAGAGAGAGAGAGAGAGAGAGAGAGAGAGAGAGAGACTGCACTAAAGCACAGACTTCCTCCATGACACAGTAAGTGGGTCTTGGAGTAGTTGTCTGCTCAAAATGCACTACCTAGTCAACAATTGCACAGGGTTGAAATAATGTCTACCACAAACCTAAAGCAGCCAAAACATTTAAAGAAAACAAATACCTCCCTTTGCATTTGATATAAATTCCCTTTCAGAATAAAATTGGGTAAACATCCAGCATTAGTCAAATATTACCCCCCTAGGCCCCAGTTGAGTTGGAGGACAAGGGGGGATGACAAGTTGGCCTTACCCAATGTACAGCTTAGATAACCTCAGGAAAGAAATACAACTCTTATCATAGCTCCTTCAAGTAATAAAACATGTAGACTGCAAAATAACAACGAGACGAAACATAATGCAACATGCCAGTGGGACACAATGAATGACGCTCAAGAAACTTCAAACCCAAAGTGACACCAAGTCAAGTTGCTGACTGCATACAGACATACAGAGCATTACAGAGCTACAGGTGATTGAAATGGACAAATACATAATAATATATTAATTTACTGTCTGAACACGGGCATTATTCTGGATGAACAGCCTGTGTATTATGGAAGAAACCAAAACGGGGATATTCTATTGTTTTGCTAATAGTCTTTGCATCATATCACATCAGTAAATTAAGACGTCTTGTACATTTCAGGGGATTCTAAACGCAAAATAAAAACTGTGAAATGATGCTCTCAAACAAACAGGACAGATATCATATTTACATCCAACTTTGAATATATATACTGTGCTTGTGAATTTCAAGAGGGAAGGTGTTGTGAAGGCACAATGGTTGTTATTGTTAGAAGAAAAAAAGATTTACTGAGCTTGTTTGTATTTGTACAGTGCAATCAATGGCCAACAATGGATAATCTGAATAGATCATAGTATGTGTGTTTGTGTATGTGTATGTTACGGAGCTTAATCAATAAGACACCCTCCACCCTCAGTGTAAGAACATCTAGAACATCTAAAGTTATTTATCAACTTAGATCGGGGGAGGGGGGTACTGCATATTTCCAAGGCAAAACATTAACATTTTTTGAAGTGTAGCAGCAAAAAAACAAACACTGACCTTGTATTTTCAATAACCTAATATCTTAATAACGCCTCACTCTGAACTGATTTACATATAGCATCTTCTTAACCTATACAAAGGGAGGAACCCCCCAATCATCTTATAGATCTGACTCTACACAAGAGAATACCCAAGTTATACAGTACTCTTTTAAATAGTTGTTTCCCTCTTTTTAGTATTAAAATATATACTCATACATTTATATATTCTTAAAACAATAACTTTTTTTAATATCTTTACAAATAAATCCTCTTGTCTGTGTGAGGTCTATGTACAGATCAAAGAGAAAGGGCTGGGTATCAGGGGCAGCCAGAGAAGGATTCCAGACATAGGGGAAGGGTGGGGTAGCAGGGTGTCTAGCAATCTTTGGCTGCCTGGATCCATGGGCCACCTGGAACACAAGAGCAAGGAAGAAAGAAAACAGTGAGAACCATTGTTGAACAGCAGTCATAACTGCACACACAGAGACATATTCACAGACAGCCTATGTACCGAATGTTAATGTGAAAATATGCTAATATAGCCTAATGTTGATCTAGTATGTAAAAGTGTGTTTAAGTTCCAGCGTTAGACTCACCTTGTGCCTGGTTCGCCTGATAGTGGTTCTGTACAGATTCCAGGTCTTGAAGCTCTAAGGATTCACGCTTGGAAGATTGGGGAGCTTTCCCACAAGATTGTGAAGTCCTCTTAGTGTCCTCAAAACAGTCTGATTCACTGTCCTCGTAGCCCTCATGCATGTAACCCTGGTAGGCCCCCGGCAAGCTGGGGTGCACCGCCACAGTCACCGAGGCCGTGGCCGTAACCATGGTAGTAACAGCACTACTGGGCATGATACCGACATTACAGGCCGGCATCTTAGTCCTGTTCTGATGAGGCCCTTTGTGTGTCTGAGACCTGGGACCACAGTGATTAGTCCTCCCAGGACCGTGGGTCCTGTCACTGGGTAAATGTTGCCTCCTGGGTCCCTGGTCAGAATTGTAATCATGTTTGTTATCCCACTGCATGAGTTGAGAGCTGACGGAGTTCACCGCATTCGGAGAAGATTCATTTAAAAGTTCTTTCTGAGCAGTTACAGATTGGTTCCCTTTGAACGGTTTCACCACCTGGAAGAGTACAACAATTACAGGCATGATTAGAATCATGATAGTCATTGTTAATAACAATGTATTGCACATCATACTGTATTTGGGCTGTATTATGTATGAAGTAGCAACTAATACAGCAGCGCTTTCATACCGTGAGCTTGGGGAAGCTGGGGTTCTTGCTGGCCTCCAGTAGTATATGGGAAGTAGGAGGTGTGATGTAAGGACTGCGGTCACAGTACTTGTACTCCTCCTCTCCTATCCCTGACGTGGTAGTCGTCTCAGAGTAGTACTCTGACTCGGAGGACTCTGAGAAGGCCTGTTGTCGGGGGCCGAGTGGGCCGTGTCCCGCGTAGTAGCCGTGGTGGGTCATGGGAGGGGGGAGGGACTCTGGCGACAGGGTGGGCAGGCAGCTGCCGTTGTCGGACGGGGTGACCTCCGGGGGTGGGCCCATGAGGGAGAGCAGCACGGGTAGCAGCACCAGTCCATTCAGGATCCCCAGCACAGTCAGGATAGCCAGCACCGCAAAGAAGTACCTGGAACACAACCAACACAGAGAGAACATTCAGTCACCAAGGCTCCTTCTGAATGGGAATAAGCGGGGCCACCAGCACTCAGCCACATTAGTAAACAGGCGACACGAGGACACACTGGAAGGGAGGACACTGCAGAGCTGGGGGGGGGGGGGGGGGGTAGAATCAGACCACCCTCTCTCAAGCCCTATGTTGGGCCCCATTTCCCCCTTCTTTTTCATTCTATTTCCCCCCTTCCCCTGCATCTCCTCTCTCCCTCTGTCCGTCCCTCTCTACTACTGGCAACTTGACAAGTTGGAAGAAAATTCCTGGGCTCCATCTTCTCCGTCTGGGAGCCCTCATCTATCACCACAGCACTGCCACTTCCTGAAAATATGTGTTTACATTAGCCAGCAGATCCTACACTTCAGAAACACCAGGGCCTTCCCTCCCCTCCTTGTCTCACTGCAGGCTAGGGGAGAAGAAGTGTCCCCCTTCTGGCCTCCGAGCTGCTGCTGCTGCTAATGTAATTTTCCCTTCAACAACTTAATATCCGAAGTCATTGAGCTCCAATTTCACAGTGGCGAGGGCAAGGCACCTCTGTGTTTATACTGGGCTGGCCAGTGGAGCCTGCCTTCTCTTCCTGCCTTCTCTTCCTGCCTTCTCTTCCTGTCTTCTCTCCTGCCTCTCTTCCTGCCTGCTCTTCCTTTCTTATCTTCCTGCCTTCTCTTCCTGTCTTCTCTTCCTGTCTTCTCTTCCTGCCTTCTCTTCCTGTCTTCTCTCCCTGCCTTCTCTTCCTGCCTTCTCTTCCTGTCTTCTCTTCCTGTCTTCTCTTCCTGCCTTCTCTTCCTGCCTTCTCTTCCTGCCTTTCTTCCTGTCTTCTCTTCCTGCCTTCTCTTCCTGTCTGCCTATGTCAGCCACATCACATCACACCTCACAGACACTATATGAGAGAGATACACAAAGGCCTGTTGGGTGGATGTGTCTCACTCAGCGCTACTACTTCTACTACTATCTTGTTTTGTATTGAACGTTACTACTGTTGGTCAGTGTGTGGAGTGGGCCACAATTGGTAGTAAGAGATACATGTAGTGTATATACAGTCAGTGTCCCTTTGTGATGAGAACAGAGAGGAAACTGTATACTCTGTCTAGTATCTGAAGGGAACCAGAGTGAATGGGAAGCTGCTCTGGAAAATGTTTTGTGTTTGTGTGTTAAGGGCAGGGGGTAAATCAGATTCTCAACATGCTCCAACTAAAACATCCTTCGATGCTCGCAGTGCTGTTAAGAGCCTTCTCTTTGTCTTTCTTGGAGTTGTATGGAGCTGTTGTGGTTCCTAGCTCTGCCCTAAATGATTGCGTGGTGAAGGGTACTCTGTAATGGGCCACAGAGCTGTGAGGTTGCCTGGGTCTCTGTGAGCCTCTCTGTGCTCTGAGGATGGGCTGAGGTTGCCACAAGAAAGAGTGTATGAGAAAATTAGAGAGGACTCCACTTAAACACTAACAGAAAACAGAGAGCTCAGTTCTTTTAACTGCGGTCCAGACTTAAAGAGGTATGAAAAATAGAGAGGATTATGAAAAACAAGAACAAGGATAATAGCATTCTGGAACTTTCCTTCATCCCCGCCTGACTCTACCACTCCGGCTTTGTTGGTGTCACACCTCAGAAGGGAAGGTCACTCTTAAGGTTTGGAGCACACCTTTATTTTCTCTGCTCCTCATACTCCCCTTGTTCCTTCTCATGTACTCTTCCACTCTCCCTCTGTCTGTCTCTTTAACAAGGCCAATGGAGGCCGCTCTGTTTTACTCTGGGAAGTCGACTTAACTTGTTATGACAAAATACTTCACCAAACATTTCAGTTCAGTCTTCTCAACCATGACCATGCCTCACTTCAAAAAGACACACAAATGTGACTGGTCACTTCTTATGCCCTTGAAAGTAGTTTCAAATGAAAACACACATGCCCTAAGGAAGAGTAGAAAACCAGATGAAACAGAAACAACCATCAGTGTTCACCTCTAGTTACCGTTCAACTCAACTCATTAGATACAGCCACTCACTATAACTATCCTGCGTCCGTGAAAAGTCAAGAAAAAAAGTTACTTGTTTATTTGACTAAGTTAACATTCCGAAAGTGGAGCATGATTTATTTAAGGGGTAAAAAAAGAGAGAACCTTAACTATCCAAGTTCCCGGTTGGGTTAGACCTCCAGAGAAGACATAGTGTTAGGAATTCTGTTGTTTATATAAACTGTAATCTTTTCCATTTGGAGTCGGAGGTTTGAAGGGGTGGCTTCTTTGGATAGGGGCAGCTGAGCTTGCTGGGCTATTTATTCAGCGTACCACTGCCAGTAGATGTTTACAGCAACGTATTTATGCTACTCCCCAGCGAGAGGGACGGCTCTGCTCTGCTGTGCTACATCTAAACAGGACCTCCTAGTGTGAATGCCCTCCTCATGCTGCCTGCTAGCCCACCACCACAACACACACAGTCAGCTCTCCAACCAACCTCCCAAGCTCCACCACTCTCCTAGAACCACCTACCCCCCCTCCTCCTCCTCCTCCTCCTAACAACTCTCTATTCCCAACTCCTCTTTCTTTCCCACCCTGTTGTTCCTTCCTCCTCTCCTCTCTTTTTCTTCCTTCTCTCCCTTTTTGGTGGAAAAACTATCCTTTCCAGTTCCTCCATGTCGCTTGACTCAAACAGAATGAGAATGCTTGGAGCGTTTCTGCCAAAAAGCCACCATGAACGTATTTATATTTTCAATGTGCTGCCCTGCTTTCTCAGTAAGCAATTTTTATGTCATGGGCCTGTTTAAGGCCTGTTTGAGTCTGCTCTCAAGGCTGTGGTTTGGTTCCAGCTGAGGCCAGATTCAGCTGAAAAACATTGCTATTTGCTTTTTTCCACTGAAGCATTTTAGCAGCAAAAAAATAACCCTCCAACAGAAGCCAGAGGCCTTGGTTGGGGGTGAGGGTGGTGGTGGTGGGGGGGTGGTTGGAGGTGGTGGTGGTGACTACTGGTAGGGGTACAACTGACCAGTTCAAACCCAGGCCTTTTTTTAAATTGTGGTGCCTTTCTGCCGGATGACTGGAAAGTTGACAGATTCCATATGAGAATGGTGTGTGTGTATGTTTGCGCACATGTTTGCATGTATGTATGTGTGTGTGCTCATATGTGTGGTGTGTGCGAGTTACCACCACCCAGTGGGTAGTAGATAATGTCCATGTTTATGACCAGCTGTTCCACACCCTTGATGTTTTCTCCATTTGTTGTGCTGTGAGGGTGGGGCCACTAGGCCGCTGGGCGGTGGGGGAGGCAGGCAGCAGCACGAAGGAATGACAGACAAGACCAGGTGGGAGGGACCACATTCCCACCTGCATGCACCCCTGTGGTCCCCCACCCACCCTGGCTCCCTCACCCATGGGGAAACAGACAACTGTCTCCATGCATCCGCCCCCTCAGCCTACCCCTCAGCAGCATAAACACAACACTAGCACTTCCTCCGTAAGGCAACATATGGGCTATTGGGGGGAATGGGGGAATCTACCCAGGCAGAAGTGGAGTCTCTCACACTCACCTCAGGATGAAGTCAAACTCGGAGCCAGCCAGCATGAGGACGCCCAGCAAAGTAGAGATGGCCCCGTCAATCACAGGGGCAAACATGTGCTCCAGGGCCACCGCAGAACGCCTGTTCCTATTCCCTACGGCCGTCAGAAAGGCCTGGGGACAAGAGAGAGTATAGAGACAGAGGGTTAGGGTCAGGCTGTTCAGTAGAACAGACTCATGGGAAAAAAGTGGTGGCTAGTGGCGACATCATCATTCCATCCATGGTAGTAGTGTATCTCTACTTCTTTCTTTATTGACTTTCTCCTAGTTTGTCCATAGAGTGAGGGAGGAAGGTTCCTTACCAAAATCAAATCAATGTTTATTGGTCACGTACACATATTTGCAGATGTTATCGCAGGTGCAGCGAAATGCTTACCAGTGCGATATGGACGGTGAATTCGACACCGATGCCTACAGAGGCGATGAGGATGACCACTGGGATGGCACTGAGCTTGATGCCTATCAGGCCCATAATACCGAAGAGCTCCACCGTCATCATAGCCAGGATGAAGACCTGAGGAGAGGAACACGGGTTGGTTAGACACTGCCTAAAACTCTGGAGTCACAATGAAACACAACCATTGAAGAGTAGGTAAAAGTCTTAGAGAGATAGAGAGAAAGTTATCATTTTCACAGCATGTCTTGCACACACAACCTTCAGTGCCTATGTCCATGATTCTATTAGGTAAGAGTTATGTTTTACCCCACAGAATATTTGACCCTACATTTGGGAGGATCTCACTGTCAACTGCATGACATCAAATTACACTCAGGCTCTACTCCCACTCTCCCTAGCCCTCTTTCTCACCCTCCCGGGCTGCTCCCTCTCTCAGGGTTATATTCCCCTATTTTTTAACAAGATAGAGAGAGAGGACTTTGAAAATCCTTAGCCTCGTGAACCTTTGATGTTGGCAGGGGTCCCAATTTGGTCACGGTTAAATTGGAAATGATAAAACCCTGTTTTATTGCACGGACACATATAGGCAGTGAAACTATAGAGGCTCCGGCTTAAAGTGAGACAATGTGACTGTGCACATGTAGGCCTGAAAGGACCTCTCCCCCCTCTCTCTCTCTCTCTCACTCTCTCTCTGTGTGTTTGGGAAGATTGTGCCGTCTGTCTTTCAGTAGGACTGACTACTTTAATAGAGAAGTTAAATACATTCCAATTCCAACTGAAACTTGTGCCACACTGACTGAATTGTGCCACTAAAGCCCCAATGGTCGGTCACGAGAGTCACCCTTCAGTGCGGTCTGACCAGGCGGGCGGCCCAGGGACCCTCCCCTCACCACCAGGCTTTGTGAAATGTTTCCCAGCCGCTGAGTTGACAGGCTGTCTCCCCCCAGGCCTGATTGATGGGTTTAGCAGGCCAAGGTCGCGACTGGGCAGATCCGTCCTGTCCCCAATTTTTGACAAAGGGAGCTGGAGGTAAAGTCTTCAGGAGAGATCCTTTGCATTTCCTTTTCTAAACCCGGCCAGAACAGATTAGAATGACAAAGGCCTGGGGGGTGTGAGCAGCACCCTCTGGTCAACACACCAAGTGCCCTCCCCAGAGATGGGGCCTCCACTCCCTCTGTGGCAGGGTTATTGAGCTGTGCTGAGGGAGGGAGGCCTGGGAGGAGGAGGAGGAGGAGGAGGAGGAGGAGGAGGAGGAGAGGGGGGATGAGCTGATGGGACTTACAATGATGCCAGCGGTCCAGGGGTTGAGCAGGAGGATGGCACAGACGAGGAAGGTGCAGGCTAGCACCACGCTGACCGCCAGGAGGAACCAGTGTCGCAGGCCGATGTACTGCTCCCAGAACAGGAAGGGGTACCCGTTGGGGTAGTTGAGCACGCCTTTACGGGTGAACTCCTCGCAGATGGCGCGCACGCTCTCAATACCCTCGATGAAGTCGGACGCCTGCCTCAGGCCGTTCAGGTAGAAGGGGAACTGGGCAAACTCCAGGGGCTCTGCAGCAGGGACTGCAATACACCACGAGAGGTTAGACATTCACATCCTAACAGAGTCAAGTACCAGTATTGTTATTTACAAACAATTAGTGTTGACTCTCCCTTTACATTGGAGGAAAGAGCCAAAAGACAGACCATATGACCTTGGATCATGGTAGAAACTTGATTAAAAAAGGTACATTTTAATGTGAATTTAAAGAGAGGCCTAGTTGGAAACTTACTGCGCAGGTTCTCTCCGGTGGTATCGTACTTGTCGTGGATCCACTCACGGGGGTGAGGGTAGAAGTTACCCTGAGAGGCAGCGTAGCCCAGAGGGTCGTTGCTCACCCACACAGTCAGGTAGATATAGAAGACCTCCGGGTGAATTAGACCGTCCTCATCCACCAGACGACGAGAAGTCAGCTAGTAGACATATAGAGAAGGACTGTGGTTAGCATTCGCAGTAGCAGGACTGGGACTATACCATCTAATATATTCAAGCTACATTTAACCTTTATTTAACCAGGAAGTCCCATTGAGGTCAGAATACCTTTTTCCCAAGGGCGACCTGGGAAACAGAGTTCTATCGAACGCAGTAGGAGCATGGTACTGTGACTATACACACCTGGTTGTAGTTGAAGGGGTCCTTCTTGGAGCCGGTCTGGATGAGCAGCTTGTAGGCCAGAACACCATCCTCGGTGCCGTTACGGTAGTTATCCCAGGTGATCCTGCCTGCCTCCCAGTCTGAATCGAAGGCAGCCTGCAGTCCTAGAGGAGAGAGAACAGGAGAGCACAGGGTTAGACCGATCTGATCCACCACTACTTTCTCACGGTTATTATATTATACAGCTCCCACATTGACAGGGCCACAACATAAGCCGAGATGTTTTGAGCACTATACTAGGAGTTATACTTTAGAGTAGTGAAAACATGATGGTACGTTTAGAATGACTCATCAAACTAAAATAAGACGTTTTACAGAGTGTTCTGAACATTAACCTCCTACAAAACCACACACAAACACATCCAAAAACACATCCAAAAACACGCATCTCTGTTCCTCATATGTGTGTGGGCTGAATAAACTAACCAGCAAAGCCTTTCGTGTTTTCTAAATGACAAAGTCTGGCAGCAGTTAAAAACCAGTTTCCACAGCCTTTCTCTAATTACAGGGAGAACCTGACTAGAAAGGAAATAGCATGGAGGGACAGCCTTGGAGGAGTGGAGAGAGAGAGAGAGCTTTTATGTCACTCCAGTTCTCAATCGATTGAAGAGTTCAGTTCCTCATGTTTTGGACTGGTTACCCGCGGCCCACCCTCGATTTGCCTCATAGCTTAATACTTCCTCATGACTAGTCTAGGACCTCCAATACCTTTTAGCCGGAGGGAAGAGGCCAAAAGGTGATGGCGATAACCTCTGGCCTTTCTACTACATCATCTAGCCTCCAGCCTTGCTGGATGGGGGTGAACTTTGACCGCCACAGGCTTTCGCTCACCTCCTATTTACCTCCCATCCTCGTCCTTCCACTGAAGGTAAACCAACCTGTCACTCTAAAGACCCTGACATCACTAAAAATCTATACCCCCAGGGCAAGAACCCACAAACAGAGTTCCTTTTCAAATACATAAATGATTAGGCCTAATAGCAGAATCACTATGGGGCTTCTGGAATGAAATAAAACAAGGTCTCCTTTAGGTAACCTGCATTTACCTCTTAGCCAGTCCTGAAAATAGTGCAGCCACATCCGGGGCAGCTGCTGGTCGCTGTCCCTCACCACGTACTTGACCGAGGTGAAGGAGTTGTGCAGCTGGATGAGGAGATGCTGGGATCGGGGGTAGTCAAAGCCATCCATGGTCACCAGGTACATGTTGTAGAAAGAGAAGTATTTGAACTGGGCATTGATGAAGTCGTACTCCTTGGTGTCGCGGGGCACAATGTCTGTCAGGTAGAGTCCGTCGTGGACCATGGTGGTTCCGTAGAGGCTGAGCCCCAGCAGAGTCACGAAGAGGACCACAACCACCACCTTGCTCTCTGGCTTTAGGAGGAGAGGAGCGTACTTGTCCCGGGCGAAGCTTGACAGGTTCCAGCGGAAGAAGGGGAGAGGAACACACTCCCTGGCCTCCTTGGACTCGTCCATCTGGGCCAGGAGATCCCGGGTGGAGCTGGAGGGGGTGAAAAGCTGGGAGCCGTAGGGGTCGGTGGGGGAAGAGGCCACCACCACAGAGGGAGGGCTGGTGGAGATCTGGGAGGTGGGGGGCAGGATGGTGACTATGTGCTGGCCCGCCGCGTCACACTGGGTGAAGGCCTGGACGGTGGTAGTGATCTGGGTACTGGTGGTGATGGTGGAGCCGGTGTAGCTCGTAGTAGTCTGGGCGCCAGGCGCATGACTGTGGGTGGTGTTGTCGTTGGCATCGGAGAACTCCTGGGGTTGGATTTGGATGACCCGGGAGGAGCAGGGGCTGTAGAAACAACACAGGATGTCCAGACGCTTATCCTCCCGACGGTGCAGGTCCAAACTCAGGATGGCCGGGAAGATGAGAAGCACCATGGCGAAGTTGAACACCACAATAATGGCCGCCTAGGGAGAGAGATAGAAAGAGAGGGGGAAGGAGGGGGAGAAAGGAAGGAGAGAGAGAAATACTGTTTAGGAGAGGGGTCAACCCTGTTCATGACATCGCTCCACGCCGCCACCAGACTCCACAGCTGCCGCCTTGAGCTCAACAAAAAAGGGCTCTACATTCAAGCTCCCTTGCTGTTTTAGTGCCTCGGATTCAGTCCCAGAAAGAGAATAAAAGTGCTCCCTAAATCACCAGCGAAAATAGTCAACAAGCCAGGGAACTGAGGGAAAGGAAAGGGGGACTCGCAAGGCTGCTGCTGCTCTCTGCTAGTCTGTGCAGGACCCCTCCTACCTCCCTACTCTACCGCCCTGGGGCTGACATTATAGTCGGTATGGTTTCAAGGAACCACGGACCACCCAGGGGGAGGCGGGCAGATCACAGAGCCAGAGGCTGACGGCCCAGTGATATACTGATCCACTCCTCCTCTGATTATTTCCCCCCTGCCCTCCCCACCTGAGAGAGAGAGAGCGAGAGAGAGAGAGAGAGAGAGAGAGAAGAGAGAGAACTGTAGGTGCAGTGAGCAATAAAAAGAGGAAGATAAAGTTTTTCTTTCTCTTTGTGGCAGAGGCCTGCGGCCCACTTTTCTTGGTGTGTGTGTGTTTCCCTCGGTGTGTGTGCCTGGCACTCCTGGTTCCATGGCAGAGCTAGGCAGTGTAAACACAGTGGGGCATACAGCACAGTCTGGTACCTGCAGAGAGAAGGCGCGCAGTGCTGGGATGGGGACCAGGGCTGCCATGAAGAAGGCAATCATGTTGTTGATGGAGGTGAGTGCCACGCTGGTGCCAGTCCTCCTCAGGCAGTCCCCTGTCCTCTCCTGCAGGGACAAAACACAGCCAACAGTTAATACCAGACAAGCAAGAGAATATAAGTAACTGTTGTCGTTCTAACTAATATAACTAAGCATGCATCCCAGATGGCACCCTATTCCCTGTACACTGCACTACTTTTGACCAGAGCCCTGGCTGGTCAAAAGTAGTACACTATATAGGGAATAGGGTGTCTCTCTTTTGGGACAGAGACTAAGTACAAGGTTACAGTGGATCTACAGGTGATTGAACTAGGGGGCTTGGGGAGGGGAGGTAGCTAGCTTACCTTAAAGGGGATGTTGATGCCAGTCTCAGTGAAGGAGTGGGCCAGAAGGAACATGTCATCCACACCGATCCCCAGAGCCAGGAAGGGGAGAACCTGTGTGGTGGCAGCGTTAAAGGACAGGCCCAGCAGAGAGCACAGCCCCAGGCCAGCTGCCACAGACAGAGCTACCAGGAGCACACCAGCCAGCCCCACAGCCCCCTGAGACTTGGCACAGTCCCAACGGAGCATGGTCACACAGGCGTAGGCCAGCTAGATTAGGACGGGAGAGAAGAGAGAGGGTGAGAGTTTGAACTTTGAACTCAGCACAGGTGAAAAGGCATCAGTATAGAACCACCGCTATTCTATGATGAATCTACAGTAGCGAGAGTAGGTTACTACTACTTACCATGAGCAGGTAGCCTCCAGCCACCCGGATGACACTGACATCAGAGAAGGACTTCATGATGTCGTTGAGGGTGGTGGTGGAGAAGGCGTGGATCTCTGAAGTGGAGTTCTGGGGGATACTGCCATGAGCCACCTGGGGGGAAAATCAAATAACTTTATTTAAAATACAGGTAAGGGGTCAATAAGAGAATGTACAGTTTATTTAAAAAACATATATTATATAAGCCAGTAGTAGTGACCTAGTTTGTGTTGCGGCTCCTGAGGTCATGTCAGTTAACACTTAAATTCCTCTCCTGACATTCTTCTCCCATACAAACAGTGTATTCTTCAAAGATGACTTCATATTTTGAACCAACAACACACAAACAATATATGGGTGAGCACCTACGAAGCTTGACAACTGAGAAATAATGACCACAGATGCCAGAGAGCAAGGGTCAGGGGGATCAAATGAGATCACATGATCTCTCAAGCTACTCCATCAGCACCATGAATGGCCGACAACCTTAGGGGAACCCAACACCCTGCACTTTGTTTTTACAGTGACCATCCCCCTCTCCTCGTCTCCCAATCCCTCTCTCTCTCCTCTCCCTCTCTCCTCTCCCTCTTTCTCCCTCTCCTGTGAGCGGGTATTGCTGGAGGCATGACCCCCCAGCCATTCAGTCAGCATGCTGGGTGTCAGCTATCACAAAAACAGCTTGTTCCTATAACTGGGAGTCTGTCAGTGGCCTCCTTGGAGGACTCCGTTTACTAGGCAGCTGAGGATTGATGGAATTCAGGCAGACGTTGCAGTCCCTGGGCCAAAGCCCCTCCTCTACGCATGTGGCAGGTAAACTGGATGACTCATACTTAAAAGGGTAAGGGAAAAACAAGCCAACCTGAGGCCAACCTAAAGTACGCTCTATGATTTCTTGTTTGCCGGCATATTACTCAAATGGGTCGAGACAGGTTGGTGAAAGGTGCAGGTGGCATAGGTGGGGGAGCTAGGGGCCAGAAACATAGGCTCCGTCCCAAATGGCACCCTATGCCCTATTCAGTCCACTACTATTGACCAGGTATAGTGCTCTTACTTAGTGCACTACTTTTGACCCATACATACCTCCACAAACTTCCTCTGCCAGGACTCCAGGATGGCGGTGGCCTTGTCCTCGTTCCAGTTGATGTCATGGATCTCATAGTCATCCTTAAAGTGCTCGTAGAGCTGCTTGGGGCTCATCAGGAGAAACATGGTCTGGAGTGCCTCCGCACTGCAGGAGACAGAGAGAGAGAGACACAGTCAGACGTCTGCAGCCATGTGAGCTCAGGCCACACACAGGAGTCATGTTCCCCCCATTCAAGACCCCCCAAATACTACAGAGGAACCTTAGGCGTTCTCTTGTCAAGAGACTCCTGTCTTGGCTGTCATAGATATTACATTCTCTGATCTGTGGCATACAAACCAAAAGGTGGTTGTATACAGTGTAAGTGGAGAAAAGGGTGGAGAAGTCAGCTGTTGGCTAGTGTTCTCAGGCTCTAACGCCTGAACGGGTGAAAGCAGGTGTCCTGCTGCCTTCCCACAGTGAGCACAGATGGCCCTGAAGGCGACTTGGCACCAATGTGGGGTAAAAATGTGAATGAGATTATCGTAAATCATATCATGGAATAAAGTCTGTGGCTTTAAAGGACTGTATCCCTTCCCTCCAGATTTGCCAGGGTTGTGGCCCCACACTGTCTCTCCATTCATATTTGTGCTGTGGTTTTAAATTAAATTGAAATGAAAGAAATGATTCAGAATACTTAAAAGAGCCCAAGAATCGTGTATCACACACATACGGCAGTATATCAAGATGTTTTACAAATCCTTAGCATTGGAAATGTGTCCTAGTACACCCGTGTTGTGAATTATTGTTGGTGTCCCCCTTTCCTTTCTCTGACTTAAAGGGACAGGCTACCTTAATCCCACTCTTCTCCACAACAAATCTGTCCTTATTTTATGTGGCTGTCCATCATGTTTAATTGGTCTATCCTACGCAGGGGTCAGAGGAGGAAACTGATCCTGCTTCATGTGAGGCATTCCTCAGATGTGTGAGGTTATTAGGAGTCAGAGGGATTCCTCACTGCTAGCTAGGCCCTCACTACCCTCGCTTCACTCCCTTCACTCGCCCTCAATCTCCCCCTGGCCCCGGTGTACACCCCCTCCCGCTCTCACCTCTGCAAAGCATTCTGGGTGTCCTTGACCCGACCGCCCAGGATCAGCTCCTCCTGCCAGTGCATGAACTTTTTGGAGAAGCCGTGGCAACCGCCTTGGAGACGCCCAGCAATGTCAGGACTCTGTGGAGGGAGGGACACAGACAGGCAGATCTAACAGTTAGCTTATTTAACAACCAGGCACATCGGGCTCAGAAAAATACCCTCCTCTTTAAAAGGAGAGACAGAGAGAGAGAGAGAGGGGGGGGGGGGGGGTGTGGAACCAGCCTACCTCTCTCAAGTCCTTGTTGGGGGCGCTGAGGGGGCAGTCGGAGTCGTTGGGGTCCAGGCAGGGGCGGTTCATGTAGGCGTGGCCCACCTGGGCCTTGTCCAGCATCTCCCTGAAGCCCTCCAGACTGGTGAACTGGCTGAGCTCCTCCATCAGCTTCAGAGGGTCCAGGTTCATCCACTGGATGTCAGGCATCCCCCTGTAGAGGAACAGAACAACATACAGGCTCAGAGGGAGTCGCAGGGCACAGTAGAGCGATGCCGTGGCCATAGCAAACTACGTCACTTTATATACAATCCTATTAAGTCCAGTTCAGCTGTGCTCTTTCAAATCAAATCAAATCAAATTGTATTGGCCACATGCGCTGAATACAACAGGTGTAGACTTACAGTGAAATGCTTACTTACAGCCCTTAACCAACAATGCATTTATTTTTAAATAAAAAAAGTAAAATAAAACAACAAAAAAGTGTTGAGAAAAAGAGCAGAAGTAAAATAAAATAACAGTAGGGAGGCTATATATACAGGGGGTTACCGGTGCAGAGTCAATGTGCGGGGGCACCGGCTAGTTGAGGTAGTTGAGGTAATATGTACATGTGGGTAGAGTTAAAGTGACTATGCATAAATAATTAAAAAGATGGGGTGGGGGGGCAGTGCAAATAGTTTGGGTAGCCATGATTAGCTGTTCAGGAGTCTTATGGCTTGGGGGTAGAAGTTGTTGAGGTCTTTTGGACCTAGACTTGGCACTCCGGTACCGCTTGCCGTGCGGTAGCAGAGAGAACAGTCTATGACTAGGGTGGCTGGAGTCTTTGACAATTTTGAGGGCCTTCCTCTGACACCGCCTGGTATAGAGGTCCTGGATGGCAGGAAGCTTGGCCCCAGAGTTGTACTGGGCCGTACGCACTACCCTCTGTAGTGCCTTGCGGTCGGAGGCCAAGCAGTTGCCATACCAGGGGGTGATGCAACCAGTCAGGATGCTCTCGATGGTGCAGCTGTAGAATTTTTTGAGGATCTGAGGACCCATGCCAAATCTTTTCAGTCTCCTGAGGGGGAATAGGCTTTGTCGTGCCCTCTTCACAACTGTCTTGGTGTGTTTGGACCATGATAGTTTGTTGGTCATGTGAACACCAAGGAACTTGAAGCTCTCAACCTGTTCCACTACAGCCCCGTCGATGAGAATGGGGGCGTGCTCAGTCCCCTTTTTTTTCCTGTAGTCCACAATCATCTCCTTTGTCTTGGTCACGTTGAGGGAGAGGTTGTTATCCTGGCACCACACGGCCAGGTCTCTGACCTCCTCCCTATAGGCTGTCTCATCATTGTCGGTGATCAGGCCTACCACTGTTGTTTCGTCGGCAAACTTAATGATGGTGTTGGAGTCGTGCCTGGCCATGCAGTCATGGGTGAACAGGGAGTACAGGAGGGGACTGAGCACGCACCCCTGAGGGGCCCCCGTGTTGAGGATCAGTGTGGTAGATGTGTTGTTACCTACCCTTACCACCTGGGGGTGGCCCGTCAGGAAGTCCAGGATCCAGTTGCAGAGGGAGGTGTTTAGTCCCAGGATCCTTAGCTTAGTGATGAGCTTTGAGGGCACTATGGTGTTGAATGCTGAGCTGTAGTCAATGAATAGCATTCTCACGTAGGTGTTCCTCTTGTCCAGGTGGGAAAGGGCAGTGTGGAGTGCAATAGAGATTGCATCATCTGTGGATCTGTTAGGGCGGTACCTGCAGTACCTTCTGCTCCTCCCTTTTCCTGTCCTTTCCTCCTCCCATGCCACCATTCCTACACCTCCCCATCTCCCTTCCTGTATGCTATTGACTGGTTCTTGTCTTGCCCTGCCTCTGCTGGGCTCTCTCTGGTGGTGAGGAGCTGCAGATACTGCGTTTATAAAGTAGCGTTTATTATCCTGTTACACGGGGCCACAATGCAGAGGGAAAAACACGCCGGCAGGCTGCTCGCGCCTATTTCTTAACTTTGTGCATCGAGTCATAACAATTACCTCTGCTTCTCAAACCTCTTGATAAGGCTGCGGTGGAGCAGTGAGAGGGCTGGCTGGCTGGTGGGTGAGCTGAGCAGGGAGGCGAGCAGGGAGTCTGTCTGTGTGCTCTCTCTGTTGGGCTGATTGCCTGCCTGCCTCTCACGCTGTTTAGTGGTGTGATGTTCTTTCAAAATGCCTAATCCTGAGGCTTTTCACTGCTGCTGCTGCCTCTGGGTCCTCCTCCATGCTACATTTATAATTTTCTCCAAAGAGCAGGCAATTATGTGGCCTGAGGGATAATGCTTTGGTGTCAGTTGACAGCTTTGGCTGTACCAAGTCAACTTTGTACAGTGCGCTAACTCAGTGGCTTCCAAAGAGAGTACTTGTCAAGAGGAAGCAGCCTCTGCTTTACAGGATTGTCCTTGTGACATCTGTATTCTACAACATTACCCATAATGCACCACACAACCAGAAATGGCCTTGGTTCTGGAAGGTCGTAATGTCTCAGTTTCCTGGAGCAGCCAGGTGTTTTTGACAATCACAAAACCTTTTTTACTTTTCCCTCCTTCCTGTGTTAAAATTGTACCATATATATATATATATATATATATATATATATATATATATAACACACTTGGTCGATTGTATTATTTTATTCTTATTTTACATTCTCACACCTCCAAAAAATCCAATAATCAAACTAACAACAAATTAAAAAATCTACAAAAAACAAGAACTCAGACCATTACAAGTCATAACATAATGCTGTACCAATCATATAAAAAGTAAATGCTGTAAAAAAAAAAAAATGTAAAACGATTCTAGAAACTTTGAGGCCATTTACTTTAGTTAGTAGAGAGAGAGAAAAAAGAATCCCCAAAGTGTCCTAACTCTGGGCCCAACCTCACTCCAATGATTCATGAAGAGAGTGGCTTCAAATAAAGCTGCTACTCTCCCATTCCCACATACCAAGCGCCTTTGCTCCTGCTTGCAAAGAGAGGCTCCTTTATCTGCTATTTTTTGCTTGAGTGAACCGGCCTAGGCCTTTTGTTTTTCCATAGATTGCTGCTCTTTGTTCTCGCAAGTTTTTCTCTCTCTCCCTCTTTTTGCATTAAAAAACTCGGCTGAACTGAAGCGGAAGCTAGAGGGGACATTAGCCTCAGTGGCCAGGCCACCCCCAGCTCTCTTCAGCGCAGCAAAAAGAAACGGCAAATAAATAACAACACAGACATTTTTAAAGAAAATATTTCAACACTGTGATTTAGGGGAATACTTGTGGATCTGTGATCTTCAAAGGCCCTTCCCCCCTCTGCTCTCACACTACATGAGGAGAAGTAACTACAACCCATATTTATGTTTATTTAATTTCCCTTTTGTACTTCAACTATGTGCATATTGTTACAATACTGTACATAGCCATAATGTACTGTATGTCTCTATTCTTTTGAAACTTTTGTGAGTGTAATGTTTAGTTAATTTCTATTTCACTTTTGTTTATTATCTATTTCACTTGCTTTGGCAATGTAAACATATGTTTCCCATGCCAATAAAGCCCTTAGAATTGAATTGAGAGAGAGAGAGACAGAGACAGAGAGAGAGAGACAAAGAGTGAGAGAGAGAGAGAGAGAGAGAGAGCTCCCTGCCGGGTGAAAGAAGAAAACACTGTTTGTTGTTCGCCTGTGGCTGCAAAAACTGAAATTGAACTATTGATTTTACTTGAATTTATAATCAATATGTTTGATATGCGGAAAGTGAAAAAAATAAGTATAAATAAATATACATTTAGAGTGTGATACTTTACTTTTAGGAAAAAAATAGCAAGGAATATGGTAAAAAGCATCTTAAAATAACCAAACTCCACTGTTCATTTCTTGTACGCTCTTTGGGGACCAAGACTTGCATAATGCCCATTTTATTTGTTGGACAACTTACAGCTCGGAGCCCAGGCGATTACCATGAGAATGCACAGTGTTACTCGTTGCTGACAAAGCTGAGCCCCCCTCCAGGGCCCCCTCACTGATGGACACTCACTCGTAAACTGAAAGAATGCTTACCATTGTCTGACCCAAAGGCTCCTCTGCCCCCCTTTACCAACCCACCCAGTAGCAGCCATCTCCTCCCTCTCCCTGTCCCCTTTCCATGAGGGCCTTCCCCTGCTTGGCTGGGGGACTGTGTGTGTGTGTTAGCCCCCTCACAGCTACGACGACAGGAGAAGCATAGGTGACAACTGAAGTAGGCCTCTTCCTAACAACAGGGCTAACCGGCTCTTTAGTCACAGCTTGATGTTAGGTTATTACTGCCACCATTGTAGGTTATTACTGCTGCCACTGTATTGGATCCAAACTAAAGCCTCTTGTTAAGAAGAGTGTGTGAGAACCAGGAGGTCAATTGATATTTTGTAGCCAAGCCACATTCCCTGGCCCCTGCCAAACCCAAGGTATGAATAAGGTGAAAGGGGCCAAGCTAGCTGGGCATGGGTCCTAATGTAACTCTAATACTGGGATTCAAGATAGCTGACTCGTGTAAACACTAAAACACATTCTGTATTTCCAAGTAATATGGAAGAAAATAATTTCCACCATTTGAAGAACAAATATTATGGAACTTACGGTAAGTATGCTGACCCCCCCTGGAGCTTTGCACCTTCCCAGAAACAGTCCAGTGGGGTAACAATCATACAGGGGAACAGCTTGTCAATCATCTGCAAAACATGGATACATTCATCAGTTATTATCCACTATCAAAAGTACATAATACAGATCCATAACCAAAAACATGCATGGTGATAGCAATGGACCAAAATAACAGGGAGGATTATTAAATGTTTTCAATTTACCCTTTCAATCATTACATTTTCTATGATAGGGACTCCAGATTTGTAGCAGATTTTATTAAGGTCCCATGATCTGAGGAGAGAAGACATACAGAATGTTAGATATATGTGACCACAGACAACCTCTTTTCTTTAGCTGTAACGGAATCCCCAGTGACCCATGGGTCTACTTACTTTCCAAACAGAGACACCTGGACCTTGCTGGCCGAGAGCGCTGCCTCCAGGTGAAGCAGCAAAGCATCCTGGGTCAGAATGTTAGTTCCTTCCTGTTTGGGGGTTTGTATGAGCATCTGCGACGTGAACACAGACTCCTCTCCCTGCTTCTCCTTGGTGTAGCGCAGCTCCCGACTCACTCGGCTACCTGCTACAAGAGAGAAGAAGAAGAGAGATGGAGAGGGGGGGATTGGGTTAAAGACTCATCTCATCTCCCACATTTATAAGAGCTATCGGGTTATTTATGTTAGTTGTGCTGCGATTTGTCAAGACAACTGACCCTCATTACCACTGCAGAGGAAGCATGACACAAGTTGAAACGTCAATCAACAGAGTGAATGAAGCACAGAAAGGTCCACAGATTGTACAGTTCTGGGGGCTTTGGGGATAGATATGAAGCTTTAATTTAATAGCAACCAGGGTATTGGAAAAAAAGTAACTGCTTTTCTAATTTTCACATTTCTATCCACCTCTCCTCCGACTCCCCAAGACTTAGATTCTAAATAGCTGTGTAGTTCAAACCAGAGTCCTTGGCACAGGTCCAAAGGATACAGAGACCCACAGCAGAAAGAGAGAGGGTTGGGGGGGGGGGACCGAGATATATAGGGACAGAAATCTGCTGAATATGACTATGCAAAGCTCATATTATAATCACACTAGTGCAACAACCATTGCGGACACACAAACACACACAGGTTCCGAGTCGGATCCCTGTATTGAAACGAGTGTGGTGTGAGTATAGTACAAACATATGCACTGCACATACACATGAACACAGATCGGCCAACGCCCTTGCCAGTGTTGGTTTTGAAGGCACTTCAGACACAAAACGTCTAGCCAAGAGAAATTAGTCAAAGCTTCTCATTGGCTCCCTCTGTGAAACAGATGTGTCCTGTTGGGAAATCCTCCTCACTGTGCCCTGGTGCCCAAAACCAAAACCCCATCACTAACAACACGACACGGAATGGCAGCACCACCATCCCCAGTTTCACAGTCTGTTTCACCTGGGGCCTGATCATGTAAGAAACTGACAACAGTCAAAAACACAGCCTTTAGCCTAGACAGACTGTTTCAGTACAAAACGAAGGCACAACATACCATCGATTTTTTACAACAGACTTTCACCATACCAGAACTAACCCATCAGAGAAGGAGAGGGAGACACTAGTAGAGAGAGAGAGAGAGAGAAAGGTGGTGCCAGGGTTGGATGGGAGCGAACAACGAGGCAGAAATGCTGTTGATGTGGTATGCAGAGCCGGGATGAAAGAATCAAAGCCCTGAGAGGAAACTCTGGAGTCCAGCCCCCTAATTACCAGAGGCTGCCCTGAAAAGAGTGAGCAGGGTATCTGTGGCCATGCCAAGGGCACATGAAACACACCGCTCTGGGTCAGAGTGGGCCCGTCTGCCCCTCCGTGTTCCACTACAAGACAATCCTGCAGAGGCTGGCTCTCGCTGTAGCCACCTCGCCTCTCTGCTTCTCTCCCTCTCTCTCACTCACATTGCTCTCGTTCTCTGCTTCTCTCCCTCTCTCTCACTCACATTGCTCTCGCTCTCTCCCTCTCTGCTTCTCTCCCTGGCTCCCTCTTCCACTCTTTCCCTCTCTCTCCCCTCTCCCTCTATTCCTCTCTCTGTCTTCCTGGCACCACCTTACCCAATCCAGACCCAGCTCCTCTAATTGAGGGAGAAGAAAAAACTATCCTCTCCCCGACTCTCGAAGTGTAAGATCAGGTTTTAACTGGGTTGGAAAATCTTTCAGGGCTTTCTTCTAGCCTTCATAGACTACTTTGACTTTGTGAATTCATAAACGAAGGTAGGCTAATGTTATTTGTGATAATACAGAATGTGCCTATGCACCACATAATCATAAGTGCTTTATGTTCGTGAAGCCAATCACTTTTGAATTCAGCCTTTGTTCCACTCATTAACAAACCATTCTATCCAATGAACAACAACCGAAAACACCCAGGTTACATACACACCAGTACCTGCTAACTTGTTCTCGAACACTGATTAAAATCAAAACACGCTTAAGAACAGACACTCTTGTTTCACTTGAGACATTGTGCTCATATTCAATGCATTGGGGCATCTACAGGAACTGAGTTTCAATCTTTGGGCCTGTAATTACAGGGCTCCTGAACTAAATTATAGCTATTTGTGTCTCGTTCCGCCCATCTGGACCACCCAACTAGAGCCCCGGCTGGGCCCCGGCCTCGCCACTCAGTCAATGTTCTGCTCCGAGAGAGAGAGCTCCGCCACTCACCAGATGGAGGCACTCCGCTCTGCTCCTATCCGCTCTGCCTGCAACCAACAGCCCTTAAAGAGACAGGCGCCCAAATACTTCTCACCAGGCAGTCAGAAAAGTTAGAAAGAAGTGTATGGATTTTGGGGCCTGTGAACCTCTGATGTATTGACATTAAAAGTGGAGTGAAATCACATGTGAAGGGTCATGTGAAGCATTAGGTCCAAATCATTTTTCATGAAGAGAATGTCAAAACTTAAGACGTAGTTATCAGTGTCCTTCAACAATCCCATATTGGATGGGGAAATAAGATAACAGTAAATCATATCAACGTAACATGGTGGAAGAGATCAGGGAGCTCATACTTCTTCACAAAGCCACTCAAGATGCTGCGTTCCAAACAAAGCACCTCCATTTGTTTTCCCTCTCTTCCATTTTTCACATCAACCCCCGGAGGTGACATCCCCATACAGCCCAATTATCCACAATTATGGTCCATCTCATCTTCTAAGCATATGCAGGGATACGATCCATCAATCAACCCTTTTTATAGCATAGACATTTTGGAGTGAGGACTGCCTACCATAGCCATTCCTATGTAAAGATAAAGCTAATCTCCATCCAGATGGGGTTCTCACCTCTTCTCAGTGGGACTAGGCTGGGGCAGGCCAGAGAGACAGACAGACAATGGTAGCAGGTATCAGGAGGAAGGCCTCCCACCCAGAGCCCGGACACAGGGCCAGGCAGGCCTATCAGGCTGGTGTGGGTGTGTGTGCACATGCGTGCGTGCATGTGTGTGTATGTGCGAGTGCTAGCTCCCATCTCAGTGGGCAGTATAGAAAGTGGCATGTAATTAACCAAGGAGATGGAGGCCCCTCCTCCTTGGTGTCAGACCACTGTTGGACCCTGTCAGCTCTAATCTCCCTCATGTCCAGCACACCACCACCCAGCCTAGCCCAGCCCCACAGACCTCAGGAGACCACAGGAGACACCAGTACCATACTGCAGTGGTTCCCAACCTGTGGTCCGAGGACCATTGGTGGTCCGCGGGGGTACTGCAGGTGGTCCGCACATAAAAAAGCAAAAAATACATCCTAAATGAATAACAGGTGGGAGTATTAATGGTATTATAAGCAATTTAACATAACTTTTCACAACGCTAAATGTTTATAATAATAATAATAGGCCTTTAATTTGTTACATTCACTGCTAAAATTGACTAAATTTTACCACCAAAATATTTTATATTAAAAGAAAATCTGCGATTTCCGGAAAGGAAAAGTTTGGGATCCGCTGCCATACATTTTTTAAAAATGTTAGTCATTTAGCAGACGCTCTTATCCAGAGCGACTTACAGTTAGTGAGTGCATACATTTTCATACTGGCCCCCCGTGGGAATCGAACCCACAACCCTGGCGTTGCAAGCGCCATGCTCTACCAACTGAGCTACACGGGGCTTACTGTACATACTGTATTATATCAATGAATTTCCTCTCCATGTCTGCCTGTATGCTGTGTTGTCTGCCTATACTACTGCACAGTGATTGTAAACGGTTGCCATCAAACTCAAACAGTATCTTCCAAAAGTGTTGGTCACAGACAGCACAATGTATCCAATCAAATGTGGAAGAAGTCCAACACAAGTAGCCTAGCTACATCTCCAGCTTGGCTCAGAGGCTGTTAGGCGCCATCACTAAAACACAACTGTTGAAACAATTAACTAATAGGATTGAGCCAGCAGCAGCACCATTCACATGTTAGCTCTAGGTCCAAATCCAGTCTCCATTAGCAGAGACCACCTTCAAAGTGTTGTGGGCCAGATTAGCTGGATTATGTAGCCACTGAAAGGACCCATGCTGCTTTGGAGGAAGTCCCACAAGGAAGAGACATGCTGAAAGAGACATGCTTTACCATGCTTTACCTGTACTGTAGCACAGATTATAGTATACAAATTCACAAATGCACAAACTCAAATGCACCCATAGCCTCGCCACTCACCCACTCCCTCACTTATACACTCACATAGAAAATAGACTTTGCTGGACTGGACTGTCAGTCCCTCATCTTGCCCATTCCCCACACTTTGTTATCCATTTAAATGTTTTTTTAAAAGCATGCACTATAAAACCAGAGGGATAGATTTGGCCCTGGCTGGCATAGCGAAACAAGTCATTATTGAAATCAAGCTTCAGTTCTACTGCCATTTTCAATAGGCCATCCTTTACCAAGTGCACCAGCACCAGCACCTCCCCATCCCAGTCCAATGTGTTACTTAGCAGATGGAGAAGGTCCTTATACAGAGAAAATCCAGTCTGGGCAGAAGAAATTGAATACAGGCTTTTGTCATTCCCCTCCTGAATTTCTTTCAGATGTTTCCCAGCAAACAGGAAAAAATAAAGAGAGAAATTTCACAACAAAAGCAAATGGACCAAGACTTTTTCCCAGCAAATAAAACAATGCAGGAGTAGGGGGCTTGGCTTTCTACCTTACCTATAGAAATACTGTCTGTCTGTGTGTCCGGGTTTGGGGGGGAGAGTGTGTGAATTGGACAGGGTGGGAAAAGGACATTTTGAGGTATTCCTTCAAAAAAAAGTGAGAGGATGTCAAATGAAGTTCAATTTGAGAGGGAAAACTGTAAAAATGCCATCAAAAGTAAAAGGCAAAAATAATCAGCTTCAGTTACAATCTATTCAGATCTTGATACTTCTGTCAGCATTGACATACATTTCCACTGGTGTTGGCAGTTAGGCACTTGCAATTTCCATATGTATAGCCTTGCCTGTACTAATTATGCTAATCATCCCTAGTGTTGGCTGCTGTGAAAAATAGTCACATTAGGCACTCCACTGGCTGCTAATGCATTAGGCACTCCACTGGCTGCTAATGCAGCTTAATGTGTGGTTGAAACATACATTCATCCAACGGTGAAAGGCAAAAAATTTCCACATTGCTGGTCTCATTCAGCCTAGAAATGAATTTATTGAGCCCAAGAACCATTTATTTTCCCCCAAGTACTAAGAAATTTTAATTTTTTCCAGAGGGGGCAAATGGTGTAAGAGAGGAAAATAGGCAAACTCTACCCAAAATGGTGACTGGTGTCACTGTATTTAAAGTGGACCAAGGAGGACAATCTCTTTTGGCATGATATAAAAACTGTCAAAGTGCATGAAACACAGAGACTGTAAAGGAGATGTGTGAGACAGTGCTTCCTTTAACAGAGATAGTCCTTCAGCACTCCCAAAAAGTGGCCCAGTGTCTACAGTGACTTTCAAGCAACATCCAATACAGGATGCTAAACAGGTCTACGGTTACATACAATGCTGAAATGTAATGCACTACTGTAAATGTAAAAAAGCCATGTCCCATAAAATCTTGTCTCTATTATATACCTTGGAATACTAAACACTACATAACGTGAAAACGTACACCACTATATGAGTCACTGCTTTAATACCGTAAATATCCAAAAAGAATATTAGCACAGTGTATTAATTCAGTCCACAGTGGACGGTTAATGGCGACTTCAGTAATGGAGGGATCTGGTGAAGTTTAGTATTCAGCTCATGTGTCTGCTCCTTGAGGAGAGGGCTAAGGCTGGAGGACTGCAGAGTGGTGGGAGAGGGTTGGGGGGTGAAGGGAGGGAGGGAGAGGATTGGGGGGTGAAGGGAGGGAGGGAGGGAGAGGATTGGGGGGTTGAAATAAACATTTTCAACTGACCCAGGTTGACTCTGGCCTTGTTTGTTCTCTCTACTGGTGAGGTCTGATGCTCAGCAGTTGGAGTTTATTTATCTAGCTGGGGCACTGTGGCTTTCCATTTACCTCCAATAATGCCTCATAGAGCTTTCTTTCTCTTTTAGCAGGCCCTGAACTGGAAGACTGTATTTTCTGATGAATTATAGCATTTACCTTGCATTTTTGTTTAGATAACTGTTCCAAACACTGAAACGTCCACATGTGTCCCCCCCCCCCCCCCGAACGGCCTCGCTTGTGCTGCTAGGGCTCGCGAAGGTACCTACTGCGCGCCATGTGGAGTAGGTCATTCATGCTGTGTATATGTTCTTTTCCCCCATTCTACACAGTCTCTTTCTAAAACATATGGCGGCCTGGCACTTTGCAATATTTGCACAGCTTGTCTGTGTGTACATGTCTGTCAAGATCACCAAAACTGTGTCAAGAAGGATGGGTTTAGTTAATGTGGGCTAGCCTACAAGTACATACTTGTACAGTACATGTAAACCTCTATTTTCCCTTCTAAATGTGCTATTCAAAACTTTGTGCTGCTCTTTGGTGGTAATAATTTTACCCACACAAAAATATAGAACCCTTTGGGAAATCTACATGACTGTTGCAATAGTAATAACGCAAGCTAAACTTATATTACTTCCAGAAAAAACAACTCCCTACCCAGCAAATAGACGTTTTCGTCTAAGTCCTGCTTGAACTGATGAAAGAAATGTGTCCTGAGAAAGAGGCCACACTGTTGTTTTTAGGGAATGGGAAAATGTTGAAGTGTATACCCTTAAAACCTTCACCCCTAATGCTCCCCCACCCCCATCCTCATCTCCCTACACTTCGCCACTTTGTTATTCTCCCTTTCTTCCTCTAGACAATACACTCTAGGTCACATTCTCCCCTGGTCCCACCATGACTGCTAGGCCCTTTTCCTGTGTTGTTTCTTGCTCTGTATTGCTTCTGCAGTAGCAACACTTCATAAAATAAATGTCCAAAAGAAAACAACATATGACTAAAAAAAATGTATTTAGCTGAATTGAGTGTGTTTTATCACTCTGCACTGTCTGTATTAGCCAACCAGTGGAATGAGTTTGTCCACATAGAGACAGAACAGTTTAACTAGTATCTGTCACAACCACATACAGTATGTACATCTTTCACAACAGGTGCCTTGTGTTTAACTACTACACCTTCTCCCATATTTTTCTGACTAGCACCAACTACTGGTTTAACTACCACCAATATCCTAGCAACATTCAGAACAGACAAGCTAGTCCCAGCTATGGCTGTAGTGACACAGTGTACAGGAGGCTTTGCAATAGGTTGAGAAAACAAATACTCTCCAAAACATTATCCTGGGCTAGGATAGGGCAAACTAGGCTAGGGTGGGATGGGGTAGGCTAGGTGGAGTAGGGTTTAGGGTAGGCTAGGGTAAGTGAGAGGAAACAATTAAAAAGAGCCTGGTGGTCTGACGTCACACACAGCAGGACATCTACACTAGCTAGGTGGCAAACATTACATTTGGGTGGGGGTGGGGGACAGATATGGCCTGAGAATATATGATGGGGAGCATATGCTCCCAGGCATTCACAGCTGGCCAAGTGTGAGCCCATGAGGCCTTATATTAGCACCCTCATCCTTCATATGTGGTCAGAATACACCTCTGCATGTGTTGACAAGAAGACCATATAGACTTACATTCTGTATTGAGAAAATACTAAGCCTGCTACACCTGCTATTTTGAACGTTTGAGTCCCAACTGTAAGCTGTTGATGAATAAAGTAGCTGTAAACTTGCCTGTCTTCAAACTAAAAATATACTGATCTGACTGCTACTAATAAAAAAAGTATGTTCTCAAGACACTCATCTCATATTTTCTTAGAGAGTAATAAACTTCTCTGTCTTATTAGGAAATATATCTCCTCCCTTTTGTGAAAGAGTTTATGTGTGCATGTGTTTGTGTGCGAGTGTGTGTGAGAGGGAGAGAGCGATGTGTGCATGTGTTTCTCTCTCTCTTTCTGTGTGTGTGTCTGTGTGTGTGTGAGAACTAACCTCTCCTTGTTACCAAACCACTTACTCTCCATTGAGCTCTGAGCAGCTTTGTCAATGGGCTATTGGGGGAAACAACGCAGGCAGAAACTTTAGAAACATGGGCACTGCCTCTTAAAGGAACAGCATTCCTTTTCAGCATTTGGGTATTTCACTCTCAGAATGACTCCATGATTAGGCACAACAAACCCTATCTAACAACCTCCTTTCAGAAGACCAACGGTTAGCTTCTTTAATGTGTATGAAATACACACCAATACATGACCAAAATACTATGATTATGACAAATTACACTGCGATAATTTCACATCTTGTTTGTGAGTCAGACTCAGACCACTCAACTACAATCTGACAAGTGAATGAGTCAAATCTGAAAATCTTTGGTTTCACCAATTTGACCAAAACTCAAACACAGCCACAGCCATTTCATTGACAACAACTGAGCCCTTCCCAGCCACAGTTTTGGGAAGGAATAAAGGGAGTGTTTATACACTCTTAGAAAAAAAGGTGCTATCTAGAACCAAAAAGGGTTCTTCGGCTGTCCCCATAGGACAAACCTTTGAAGAACCCCTTTTGGTTCCAGGTAGAACCCGTTTGGTTCTAGGTAGAACCCTTTTTGGTTCCATGGAACCCAAAAGAGTTCTACCTGGAACCAAAAAGGGTTCTACATGGAACCAAACGGGGTTATCCTATTGGGACAGCCGCAGAACACTTTTTTTCTAAGAGTGTACTACAACTGCTGGGACTCTTTTAGAGTGTGCAAAACAGGTGGGTAAACTTCAGCTGTATTCACTTATTTTTTGTAGGAAAGGGGGTGCCTTTATTGTTGAATGGAATCCAAGAATAGTTAAGGACCACACAGGGAGCTAGGGGGAGGGTCAGCGCCTCAAAGATGGCTAACGATTCACACAGCCCATCTGCTCTTGGGATCAGGAGTGCGGCAAAAGCCTAGAGGGCTTAAAAGGAATTTGGCAGTGTGAAAACCAAATAAAGCTGCCCGAATATGCACAGATAACCCAGCCTGCACACAGAAAGGATGTCAAATAAAAAATGGAACATGGACGCACCATGGCAAACAATACAAGGCTGATGAGATGAACAAGAGAGGCTTGCATGTGCAAGGAACAAGAATACTAGCTCCTTGTGTGCAATAAAGTTGGAATTTATTGAACTACTCTCCATTCCCAATGAAAAGCAATTTTGCCATCAGCAAACAACACACACACAAAAGTTCAGAGCTTACAATATATTAAAATAACTTTCATTACAAAAATGACTAAGTTATGGTCAAATTCAAGAAAAACCAACATCACCCAACCATGAATAACAACTAGAGAGCAGCACCTCCAAAACAACTAAAGAGCAGGACCTCCCCCCAAAATACTGATGCGACAAGTCAGTCAAACAGCACCCATACAGTTTCCTATGCCCCCTCCAGTAGCCTAGATGGCAAAATGTGTACAACAAGTTAATTTGGACAAAATAATACCCCTCTCTCTCCCCTTCCCAGACAACACCTCAAACCATACCCCGAAACTGAACGCCTGACTCACCTTCCACCCATAGTTGCTCAATGTCCGTCTCAATGGCAGCGACCCGCAAACCCACAGACAAGGCACCGAACACAAGCAGTCCAATGAAAAGGACTTTTCCACAATGTCGCTGGATGTGACAGCCCAAAGAAAAGAGAAGAGCCTGGAACCGCGCCCGAATCCACAACGGGGCTTTCTGACCCACAGCCTTCCCCTAAAGAGACAGGAGAAACATGGATAGAGAATAAAATTTTATTACACATTAATAACAACATATTGCTATACATCGACTGTATGGATATGGCATAGACAAGTACAAGTATTCACTAATGGAAGACTAAATTGTATCTAACTATAAGATAAACTATCAATACAGTGGTCTTTCAAGTATTACTAAGAATTACCTACTAGGTCAGAGAACGCTAATAAAATAGCTAACTTAAGTATGACTTTCATTGTGATAGTGTGGCATACTTAAGGGCATGTTCAACATTACAGTATCTACTGTATTAGATAGATACTTCAGTAATATGTCTTCATGTCAGTTGTCCTGTAAGCAAATCATATCTATGTGAACTGGATCACCTGAACCGATGTCAGATATAGAGACCATGTGAATATCAGAATATAACCAGCCAGAAGATACCCTAATTGATAGTAGGTAATTGAGGGCCCAACACCAAAGAGGGTAAAGCAATGACCAGTCTTTGGATTGGAATGGGCCCTCACAGTTGGCACAAGCCAGGTCAGCCTACCACTCATCACCAGAGGCATAGGGATTTGCTATGGAATCGAAACCCAAGACTTCACAGCTATGGTTACATGGGTTCAGATTTAACAAAAATAAACTGCATAGTTGTCAAATGGGGTATCAAGTAATCTACACTGTTCTGGTGTAACCTATTACACATATATAATACACCAATAACAACTAGGATTAAATAAGTATATATGGTGTACTAGGGGCTATATATTTGACAACACTTCTGTGCATTTGAACTAGGACTAACATTTCTCCTATATTTAATGTTTAAATGCTAAGCCAGCTGCCCTAACAACCTCCTGGTAAAAACGATGAAACCTAATGCTGTTGGGCAGTAATGCAACCCCTAGTTTTAAGTGGAATTTGAAAGATTACAAGATTGCACACATTTGAGTCAGGAGTGATGTAGCCTACCATACTTTCTTTAACAAGCTACATAGCTTCTAAAAGGCTATGCAATGATTTGACAATAAGTAGTTCCTATATCAAAAAGCCCCACTCCTATAAATTAAAATTCAAACACTGGCTGAAGACTGTCTACTATACCCATTCAAACTTAACAAATAATGTCACCGGTCTAGTACAGAGACACTTGACAGATGTTTTGGTTTCACTTAGGAGTTTTGACACATATCCAAGCGTTCATGCGGTCCAGTGATGCTTTGTCAGATAAAACTTAATCAATGAATTCCTCTAAGACCCACCGCATTTTCAAACAAACTAGCCTACAACGGGGACCCTGAGTGTAACTGCCTACAAATAGAGTTGAACAGATCCCACACACGCAGAAATAACTATTGTGAGTTCTATTGCTTCTAAAATTAATGGATAAAGTTATTCTTATTCATAGCGGGATCCGGGCTGGAAGGTTAAAATCAGTGCGTGCCAGTAATTCGTAAATGTTACAATGTAACACCGAAATATTATGTCAAAACGTCAGCATATCACATTGTACCACATTTTGACATAAAACTCCCTAAGATATTCCTCGTTTCGAGTGTTAGTAACACCAGTTTCCTCAAAAGTACCAAAACATAGCACTCATTCACAGACGATGAATGAAACAGCAAAGTATATTCCATTGAAAGCATTTTGTCACCTTAGAAATCTGTTTTAATGCGAAAGCAGCGTGGCAGTAACTGGGTCTCCGGAGAAGATCTGAGTTTACTTGCGGCGGAGAACGCGTATAACTTGGGGGTAAATCTCCAAAAACACCGGCCCCTGGGACTCTGGGATCCGAGGCCATAGTCCAAACAAAAAAACAAAGCACAGAGCGAAGCAAGAGAGAAACTGTGCGAGTTCAGCAAAAGCGACAATAATCCAAGATAGAATACTAGCGCATCCACCGGGTAAAAGTTTGGAGAATATATTCTAGTCTTTCCTTGAGCCAAAGTCTTCCAACTCCATCCCAACATTATGTGCCCAAATCCGTATAGATCCTTCAGTCTTCATCCGTCCTGATAGCTTATAAAACAACGTTTCGAAGTAAAGTATCGAGCAGATATCTAAGTCTGCCTCTGATCCCGTAGCAGTGACATTTGGAGAAGCTAGCCCCTCTGCAAATCGTGAAAAGGGTGGTTTGGTGGAAAAGTGATCTGGTTCTCATTGGCCAAGGAAGAGGCAAATTACTTTGCAAACATCTCCTATTATTAGCTGCTAAGCAACAGCTCACCAAAGTGGAGAGAGAGGGAGACCACCCAGGCAGCCCTTCAAATCGAGGGGAGGGGGGAGAACGAAGGGGCGTCAGAGAGAGGAAATCTTTCAATAAACTCAGCACACTGCTGCCGGCCCTGCTCTGCAAATTCACAATTGCAGCAATCACACATTGATACAACAGACACAATATTATTTTTAATCCAGTCTGACATAAACAAAATTAGAAGTTAATCCAGAGTGGTTTCTCACACAAATGAAAGGAAAAAAAGACTGAATAGTCTAAATTGTGTAATAAACTAGCTTTATTCATTGGCAAGAACTTCATAAAAAAACTCAGTATTATTAACTGTACTACAGTCAAGGCTACCTTTAAAGTAGCTAACAAATTCTAGCTCTCTGACAATCTTTCACACTGAAAGTTAATTCATTTGCTTTACTTTGCTCATTGATTGGACTAATCTATCCCAATCTCACTAGTTCATTAAACAATGTAATCCTTTGTTACTGTATTATGTGTGCAGTTGTCTTGTCTATTTATACTTAATTGCTAAGGACTTACTGACACATATTTAATTCCACTGTGCTGAGCAGTTTGCCAAACAGCTGTGATGAGTGTGTGTGGGGTTGGTCTTTAACATTGACAGCTGTAGGCCTACTAGCCTGGTATAAGGCATTAAACCAGGTAGTTATTTGTTTCCTCTATGTCACAGCCTATTGTCAAGTACTTTATTCTAACCTTGTTTACCTGAGTCTCAATGCAATATAGTTTATTATAGAGTGAACGTTAGACATTTATACACCAGCTTGGTGTAGGCCTACACAAAAACAATAAACAGTATAGCTTTGTGCATTAAATACATATTTGTGCTCTACTGTATTGGTTTAATAAAATTCAGTCAGGAGTGAAAAAATCTATTCACTTGTCTTTATAAACACTTTATTACAGAAAGTTAAATGACGACAAATGAATATGGTATCAAGCTTAGACAACAAACTGCTGATAAATGAAATAAACTTGCTACTTGCATTTTGGATGTGTAACAGCAATAGTTGCCACTTTATGAAACCATTAAGGGGATTTTCCCACAGCTCTATAATACTTTCATTTTGTACATTGTTCAAAAACTGTGAAGACAATGACTTCACATTGAAATAGATTAGCACACACCTACATGACATGACACACCTATACTCTGACTTTTAGTCCACCCATCATTTGCCCAACTTATACAAACTTTAAGTTTGTGGATAACATGTAGCTAGAACACTTTCAACCCAGCCCTTCAAGATGACAATTTGATTGTGAATTTTATTTAGATTAACTTTTTTTCAAATGTGCAATAGCAACTATATCATTTATATAAGTGCTCCGCTTTTTGTTTTCATAAAATGTAAACCTCAGACTCTAGGCCTAGCCTAGAATACTGTGTGTGAGCGTGGACAGAGATGAGTGGGAAAGGATCCCACTCCGCCCAATATTCATTTCATATCATGGTGGCAGGCAGGGGTGGTACTAATGATCAGCTAGTTTCTCAATTTGTTGAATTGGATGAGGGGAAAAGGCATCTGGAAATTGGAGCTAATGTGGAATGTGAGGAATTGCCCTGTGTGGCCCCTTGAAGCCTAACAAACTGAGGGAGGTCTGGTCCGAGGTCTAGAGGCCTTGGATAAATAAACTTCAGAGATGACCATGCGCTGTCCAGATATCTGCCATCACAAGGCCTCCCAACATAAACCGCTCTTTCTCTGGCCCTGGCCATGCCTGCCTAGCCCCGGTTCTGTATGTGCAATTGCAAAGTACAGAACCACTCTCGCACTCACGCATCACATGACAGCTGAGCTGTGCTGCAGTCGACCGTGTGTTTATTTATCGTAAACCTAGGCGTGCTTGCATTTCTTTTTCATATGGTCCAGTGGAGACGGGCACACATTCTACTAGGTTAGAGTTCACATGAACTAACAGGGTTAAATCATTTGCAGTTGAAGTTATCACATACAAAGTGGGATCCAATTCAGTTTCTTGGGTTTTTAGTTGTTATTTGTGAAATAGTACATGCAGAGAAGTTCAAGTTTTAAACCCTAAGAATAGTTGATTTTCTCGACACAGATTAAGCCTAGTACTGTACTAAAAAGAAAGCTCAATGGAAATGTTCCCTTCAAATAGGTTTTTAATTCCAGGACTAGGCTTAAAGACATGCTCCGGAACTTTGGCGACTAAGTATTTTTTAAACCTACCGCTTTGGGCTGGATGTGTCAATGTGTAGTTCATACATGCATAATCTATGAGCAGAATTACTGTTTTACCTTAATTAGACACGAAATCCCTAGTTTGAAAGCATTTTCCCTACATTTTCCCCCAAGTGGGCCAGCCCACTAGCAATTTCAGTTCTAGCCAATGAGCTACAGCCCCTCGCCCTTTTGAGTGACAGATAGCAAGATGCACAAACAACAGAGCGAGAGAGAGAGCAATGACATTGTGCACATATGTGACGTACTACGCAATTTTCGGGGAACACTTTTGGCTCGTGAGCACTACTTTCAGAACTACTGGCTAAAAAGTATACAAAAGTACTGGAGAATCTCTTTAATCTGTGTATAGGAAACTGGCCCTCAATGAAGAATCTCCATTGATCTTGCTTTGTAGTCCAGGACTAGGCTTAATCTGTGTCCGTGAAACCACCCCATAAGAGTACAAATTGACATGTTGTGCCATTTTGGTATATAATTTGAAAGTCAACAAAATAAGTAAATATAAAGCTCTGTAGATAGATTATTTTCCATTTTCTTAACAATAGTGCAACTAATTGTAACTTCCGTTGGCTGATGGGCTATGTGTAAATCCATTGCTGTTACTGTACAGTCGTGGTCAAAAGTTTTGAGAATGACACAAGTAGTGGTCTTCACAAAGTTCGCTGCTTCAGTGTTATGAGATATTTTTGTCAGATGTTACTATGGTATACTGAAGTATAATTACAAGCATTCCATAAGTGTCAAAGGCTTTTATTTACAATTACATTAAGTTTATGCAAAGAGTCAATATTTGCAGTGTTGACCCTTATTTTTCAAGACCTCTGCAATCCGCCCTGGCATGCTGTCAATGAACTTCTGGGCCACATGACTGATGGCAGCCCATTCTTGCATAATCAATGCTTGGAGTTTGTCAGAATTTGTTTGTCCACTCGCCTCTTGAGGATCGACCACAAGTTCTCAATGGGATTACAGTCTGGGGAGTTTCCTGGCCATTGACCCAAAATGTCGATGTTTTGTTCCCCGAGCCACTTAGTTATCACTTTTACCTTATGGCAAGGTGCTCCATCATGCTGGAAAAGGCAATGGTCGTCACCAAACCGTTCTTGGATGTTTGGGAGAAGTTGCTCTCGGAGGATGTGTTGGTCCCATTATTTATTAATGGCTGTGTTCTTAGGCAAAATTGTGAGTGAGCCCACTCCCTTGGCTGAGAAGCAACCCCACACATGAATGGTCTCAGGATGCTTTGCTGTTGGCATGACACAGGACTGATGGTAGCGCTCACCTTGTCTTCTAAATGGTTGATTTAGGTGCAATCTTACTAGCAGCAATATCCTTGCCTGTGAAGCCCTTTTTGTGCAAAGCAATGATGACGGCACGTGTTTCCTTGCAAGTAACCATGGTTAACAGAGGAAGAACAATGATTTCAAGCACCACCCTCCTTTTAAAGCTTCCAGTCTGTTATTCTAACTCAATCAGCATGACAGAGTGATCTCCATCCTTGTCCTCGTCAACACTCTCACCTGTGTTAACGAGAGAATCACTGACATGATGGCAGCTGGTCCTTTTGTGGCAGTGCTGAAATGCAGTGGAAATGTTTTTTCATTTTCATGGCAAAGAGGGACTTTGCAATTAATTGCAATTCATCTGATCACTCTTCATGACATTCTGGAGTATTTGCAAATTGCCATCATCAAAACTGAGGCAGCAGACTTTGTGAAAATTTGTATTTGTGTCATTCTCAAAACTTTTGACCACGACTGTTTGTGTGAATACAGCACTTTGGTAACCAAAGTAATTACAATGTTCCACGTGGTATAAGGGCAACTTATTTTCCTTTATGCACCAGATACATTATACAAATTGTCCATTTTCAAACAATCCTTGTCTAAACAGAACCCATAATCTATTATAATCACTATTAACTAAATTGATTTCAGGATGGAATAAATCAAGAACCAAAAACATATGACAATCATGTATTTGAATCAACAAGTAATAAGAGTATAACAGTAATAACAGTAGTATATACAGTAGTATATTTACACACAGTAATAAGCACACAATACAAATATACATGTGTATAATCCATGGAGGGACCTATTTACTCTTAAATCATCTTATTTTCTTAAGTAATGTTTACTTCTACCATTTACTCTTAAGTCATTGTTATACTGTTGGCCTACTGTTTGGAGCAACAAAAAGACAAACTAAAAGACAAAGTAAAAAGACAAAGTAAAAAGACAAACTAAAAAAAATTAAAAGACGAACTAAACCAATATTCAGTAGTGCATGTTTAATTAATGTTTACAAAGGGCTTTCTTAAATATTCGTAAGCAAAAAGTTGCATTGTAACAGAATGACGTGTACATGTAAGCATTGTAAGGGCTCTGTCAGTCTATAAAAGAAGATACCTGCCACACAGCCAGAGATAAGATTAATTATGATAATGTATTTCTTTCTCCCTTTGTAATCGTAGTGAATGGTTTCCTTAAAGAAAAAAACAAACACTTTTCTTTCCATCTTTGTTTGTGTTTCTCTAACAAAGGTATTGTCAGACTTTGGCAGGTGGCAGCTAAGGCAGAATCAGACTGCTTGTTTATGGGGGTCTCATCAACTTATGAATCTGAGAACCATTACATGACTATATTGTGAGGTGGGTTGAACTGAGAGAAAGCAAGGAGAACAGACTATACAG